TTTCATATCTCCGAAAACTGCCTATGAAACAGAGCAAAATGAAAATCTTTTAAAAGTTATGAAATATTTAGCTTGCAATCAAACCGTTAGATAAGAAATAATTAAAAAAATCAAAGGAAAGGGAAAAAGTATTTGAATAACAGGCATAATGGCAAACCCGACATTTAGTAACTACACACATACATACATACTCCACATATGTATACTCATAAATATATGTACAACAAGTAAGGAAGTGCTAAGTTCGGATGGATGAACATTTTATACCCTCGCAAAGCAAATGGTATACTCGTTTGAGATTTCTTTGTGGATTGACCGATATTTTCGGTAGAAGGTCAACTATAGGCACTGGGGTCCACATATTCAGTACTTAGGGGCTTGAACAGGTTTGGTTCGATTTAGACAATTTTTGGTCACAAGGTGGCATACTTTAAACGTATTATTCACGCAAAGTTTTACCCCGATATAATCATTCTTGCTTGATTTGGATGCTTGAAAGTGAAAGAATCAGATGGAATTGAAAATGGTGTTATATGGGAAATAGGCGTGGTTGTAGTCCGCCTTCGCCCATTTTCTCACTATAACATAGAAATATGAAAATAATGTTGTATACCGAATTTGGTTAAAATCGGTTAAGTAAATCCCAAGATATGGGTTTTCACCTAAAAGTGGGCGGTGCCACGACTTTAATGTCTTTGGCGTGTTTAGTGCTTGGTTTATCGCGCTTTTAGTAGTTTTTAACAGTACCGTTATATGGGGAGTGAGCGGGCTTGTCACCCGATTTCACCCATTTTCACACCGTGAATAGAGGTGCTAAAAACATTTGCTCCCAGTGAATTTAGTTATTATAGCTTTAGTGGTTTAGGAGATATGCACATTAAATTTATTAGGAGTGGGACCACGCCCACTTTAAAAAAAAATTTTAACTGCAGATGCCCCTCCCTAATGTGATCCTTTGTAAGAAATAACAGTCTTGTATCTTATTGCGGAGCTTAGTTATGGCAATTTATTTGTTTTTGATTAATGGCGTTTTGTGTTCGTGGCAGTGGTCGGATTACGCCCATCTGCAATAGCAACCGTCTTAAAGATATCTCAATTTTTACTCAAGTTACAGTTTGAACGGACGGACGGACAGACGGATGGACAAACAGACAGTCACGCGGATTTCAACTCGTCTCTTCATTCTGATCTTTTATATATACATATATAACCCTATATCTAACTCGATTAGTTTTAGGTGATACAAACAACCGTTAGGTGAACAAAACTATTATACTCTGTAGCAACAAGTTGCGAGAGTATAAAAATATTTGTTTGTATGCTTTTAAATATTCTGGGTTAGGTCAGGATGCCATCGGCAACGGCACGTACTCTTCTCTACTCTGTTCGGCTCTTTGCTCATAATATACATAGCAAGAAAGCAAGAAAACTAAGAAATAATGGAAATAAACGATGTCGATACAGACAGTCGAAACATTTTTATTTTGGAGCAATTTTTAAGAGATTGGGCTGTCAACTAATAACTGTGAACAGCTTTATTTTTTTTTCAAGCTAAAAAGAAAACAATTTCGAAGGTTTTCGATTGCTGTTTGCTTACTCAGCTGGCAAAATTTGTGGTAATGCACATACATACATACATATGTAAGTACATAAGTATGTACCTATGAAGGGACATTTGATAGAATTAGTACTTAAAATATAATACATCATATGTACATACGTATGAATTTGTGGATTTTACATTCAAGTCTGAATTTTCAATTGTAGGTTGCGTGACTTACTAAGTGGTCTGATATAAATATTGTATACTCATTTGGCGTTTAATTGGTTAAAGTAAGTTTTTGTAAAATAATTGTAATTTCTTTCACATTCAAACAATGTTTACCCCAAAGCAGTTCAAATTTAAAAACAACATACTTACATGTGTCCAAAAACTTAGCGTTAAAGCTGAGATAAGAGGCTTTCTACCAACACTTAGCTCCCTAAAGATTTCATTACTTAAACCTCATCATTATTATTTATTTTTGCTCTATTGGCCAAAAAAACTGTGCTGTCTCCCGACCTTCTTGCCTATTTTGTAACATTCAGTATATTTTTTTTTCCTTCATCTCAGTTTTAAAATTATATACATATATTAAAAGTATATATGTATGTTCACACATTATTATGTAAGTATGGATAAGTACATTGGAATGTATGGTACACCTGCGGCCACACGGAACTTACCACTACACTTTCATATTTTTTTGGACTTTTTCGTTCTTTCGGGATTTTTTCAACTTCCTTTTTTAATGTTTTTAGTAAGCACAAGTTAACTACATTATATTACCTAATTATAATTTTAGCCTTTAATTTATTTGGTTTAATGCATATTTTTTAATCAATAATACGACTAAACTTTGGATTTGAAAAGAAAACATTAACTTTAATTATAGTACAAGTTAAATTTAATTAAAAAATAAAATATTATCAATTTTTATTCGTGTGCCAGTCTTTTATGTTATATTTCGAGCTCATTTTGTAAGCTTTACTTAAATTATTTTTAATATTTTTGATAAATAACATGTCACTTACTTAGTTCTAAATAAAAAAAAGTCAATACCCGCAAAAAGTACCGCTATAAAGAGTTGCCAAATATGCGTAACACTTGAAAATTTTGAATGGTAAGTTGTGTCTGGTCGAAAGTGTATGTACATACAAGTTATACATATATACATACATGTTATGAATGTCAAATAAATGTTAGAATACCGCGAACAGGTTGTATACTGATTGATTTAAGGGCGCTCATGTACATACTTATATTGCAAGCAGACTACGACTTTTAATAGGTTTTTGCGTTTGTTTTCATTACCTAGTAATTTGTGTTTACTATATACATATGCACATAGTACATAAATGTAAGAAAATTACCCTACAGTAAGACGTACAGATACCGAACAGGCACTTCTGGGTATATCTATATTTTATCTTTATATTTTAACTCAAAAAGGCCATACTCAGATATATTGCACTTACATACATATACTATATATACATACATAAGTATACATATATTTTTATACATTAATTAACTTTCCGTTATTGTATCTTTATTTATTTGCCGAATTTTGTAAAAACACATACGATAGGGTACGAACATAGGCATATAAATAAATGTGCTGGAACATATACACTTGTATATGATAATATATATATGTACATACGTGTGTTTTTGAATAATATTAAGATAAATTGTTTAGCGAACAACTACAGTGTTATACGCATAAATATACACATATGTATGTACATATATATACGTATCTATAAATATAAATATTAATTGAATCAGGGCTATCGATAATAATTCGTGGAAAGTATTGAAATGGCAGTTGAGAAATTGAGAACTTAATACAATATTTGGGAAAACTTTAGTATACCGTCCCTGGCTTTCGGGGATAAAATTGGTATGAGCGGATAGAGGCATATCCTCCAGATCAAGAATATATATAGATTTAGTTTAAAGTTGAAAATTTCAACTATTTAAAGTACGCATTTTTTCGATTTAAAATGAATTATACACTTATATTTTTCACTTTTATATCCACTAACGCTTCACTAATTCGTTTGTACACATTTATTTTACATTATGTAGTGCAAAAATAGTTTAATTCAATATTTAAATTATTGTTAAATTCTATTAATTCTGACAATAACAAAAGGGTTGCAAAATGTCAAATAACCAGTGTTACCTTATCGACATCTTTTGTAATTGAACTGAAAGAAATGAAACCAAATACAGGAATCCAAAACCTAGAAAAATAAACTATTAGAGAGTATTGATGTTAAGTATTATGTTACACCCCCTATGACAATATTACTTTTGCTTGTCGAACTTCTTTTTGCGTTGGCGGACTTCGGCCGCGCTTCAAAAAAAATTACCCTGGTCGATCCAACACCGGGGTGTATCAAGGTTTTTTTTTGCGCAGAACTTCTTACTAAAAGCTATTTTTGCAGCATATAATATACAAAAAATGTCAAAGTGTTAGTGGATATATAAGTGAAAATTTAAGTGTATAATTCATTTTAAATCGAAAAAATACGTACTTTAAATAGTTGAAATTTTCAACTTTAAACGTAAATATCTCGAAAACTATAAGTTTCCCGCGGCTATATCTATATATATTCTTGATCTGGAGGATCTCCTCTCCTCCATTTTATCCCCGAAAGCCTTGGACGGTATACTAAAGCCGACCCCAATATTTATACATTTATTTAGAATAATTATTTTTCCTCAATTTATGTTGAGTAAAGTAAAATGCAACAAAATTCAAGTTGCTGCCGTGACCCACTTTATGTCCTTACTTACACACTTTTTGACAGTTAAGCAAATTTTTATCGTTATTTCCATGCCACGTAAAGAGTTGAATATGTTTCGTTTTTAGAATTATAAAATAGAAACAAAAATTCCAATTATAGTTTATGTAATAAATTTGTGTTTTTGATGATGAGAGAGATATTTTAAAGAAAGTCAATTTATTTTAAAGAACGTGTGCGTATATTATTTACTTAACCATCTGACTCAATGACGCAAATAAATATGTCTCTGCGGTGTCTGAATTTCGAATTCAAAGCATACCTACATTTAAATTTTTGGCATTTTCTCAGCCTAAAAATAACCGACCGACATAAAGCACAATAAACTGAAACCAGCAGAAAATTTGTAAAAATGTGGACATTTTTGGTGCGTTTAAAATTTTATAATATATATAGAATGTATTAAGCAAGTTATGTAATTAAAATGTTGAAGTTTTTATATGCAAAACTGAAATTGCAAACAAAGGAAAATTACGGGAAATTTTCAGTTTATAATTATCGCATTTCACTATATACTACATATGTATGTACATGTACTTGTAAAAAATTACGTACTAATCTACTTACATACATATATATTTATATGTACATATACATATACGATATTAGTCACTTGTACAAGCTATAAATTTTTATGTTCTCACCTTCACAAATTTCAGATTTTGTTTGACTGTTTTCCGCAGCTTAAATTCGACGACTGGGTTGTAGCTTTGAAAATGCACGTTTTCCACTAAGGGATTTTTCGAAATATATGAATGGGATATATTCTAGCCTTTTGGGGTTGTTCTCGTTTTTAAATTTTCATTTAAATATAAATGCATGAATACTTCTCTCACTGATAGTTTGTAAACACTTGCGCTCTTTTGCAAACAAAGATTTTGTGTGCTCTCCCTGGTATTTTAGCCGACCAGCAGAAATGTCATTCGCACGCTTTTACTTCCTGAGTTAATGTCAATTTTACTGCTTCTTCTTTCATATATTTAACACAGTTTCCTAACTGTTTTTTGTATATGAATATCTAATCAACACACATGTTCCTATATGTAGGTAAATATGTTATATTAAATTATTAATATACACATATATCAATCGGCACTTTGCGGAACATTCAAGCAAAGATCTGCACTCAACAGTTTTCATTTTAAAATAATACAAAATACACACCAAAAACTAAAATCGCTAAAGTTGGTTAAAATGTTGTGGTTTCTTGGTTTTGTTTGCTTTTCAGCTTTAACTGCACTCATACCAGTGCATCTTGTCACAAACTCACAAAACAAATAAATATTAGCTTCTATTTAACGTTTATGTCGACGTTTCTTAGCTTAGTTCATGAACTTTGTGTCAAATATTCTAGATATTACTTCGAATAGCATTACAACACTTGAATGACCTGCGTACTCCCTTTGCTGATGTTCTGATAGGTGGTTTCGATTTTCCGCAAAATGGGTTCGGCTAGTGTTTTCAACGAGAGGTACGAGGATAGCGGAATCACTGAATTGCACTAGCTTAACAAATGTTGAGTTCACAAATAAAATTGTGGGGAAAATTTTCTTTTTATTAGGCTTTAAATTTAAGCACAAACTTATTTAGCTCTTTTCGTCACGAAAGTGAATGTGGTAATCAAAAACGCTGATAAGGATGTCTTTCTACTGTGCTTATAACCGTGTTTAATCAAGTACAAAATTTTACTAAATTCATTTGTACTCCTCAGCTGAGTATTTGAACGAATTGTGAGCAAAGTGACATGCTCGGTGAGTAATTGGGATATTAACGAAGAGTAGGCCACATTGTTATTATCATGTGTTCAAATGACAACTAGCTCACTTTAGTTGATTGTAATAGATTATAAAGCAACCAGTGTCAATGAGAAGCATACTTTCAGGCGGGGTAAAACTGGTCAGAGTTATTTAGAATTTATTACAATGTATGAAATATATTTGATTATTAAACCAGAGAACTTAAAACAATTAGTTCTCTGATTATACATGCATGCCATAGTATGTACATATGTAAAATAAATAATTGTGAAATTTTTTCTCATAAAATAAATCCGGCCCACATGCTTAGACCCCTAGCCACCTCATGTCCAAAGATACTAAAAATAAGCGCTTATGGAGAACACATGAATGAAAGGATATTTATTATTTGGTATCGCCAACAATATGAATAATCATTATTATTTTCATAGTTAATAATATTTTTTTTTCTTCAAATCTACGTATCTAATTATTGCCAAAGTTATTACATTGAGGTTAAATAGTCAACAGCTGACTGTTAACATGGAAGACATCCCTACTAAATAACAACCTTGTTTTTTATTTCAATGTCGTTACTGTATATATGGTACATATGTGCTAATTATAACTTTTATCAATGTCAAAAATGAGATGAATTAATAGCGAAAATATAAAAATGCCAGACAATCTAGTAATATTGTAATTTTTTGATTCTGTAAGTTATTAAATTAACGAACAACAAAGCACCAAAGACAAAAGCTATCCAAAAGCAAATAAAGTGTCGCGTCCTTCAATGAATATATGTAAATACGTGCATACAAATATACACACTACTGGTTACTAAGCAAGCACCTCAAATTTTGAAATTTTATGGTTTGAGTGAAAATTTTCCAAATCATTTCTTGCAATGTTTTTCCAAATATTCGTCGGACGGGAGTGATAATATTGTCAACAATTCGGAATTGATGCTGCTCTTTGCGCTCTCGATGCTCTCGGGTGCTGAGAAGCTTTTCCGAGTTTGACGACCACCGACTGGCACATTTTTACCCCACATAATTTTACTCACAAATATATCATTTAAACATGTATTCCTACCAGAAAAATAGATTTTTGTTTTTCGTACATTTCCGATTTTTGCTTTTTCCTTTGGGTGTTCAACTTGCGCCAAGCACACTAACGTTGAAACAAACACTTAGCGAATTTGGTACCGATCTTGGCGATCGACGGAAAATTCACCAAAATCCTACGAAATATATTTCAGTTGCGAGCGGACCTCTGCACGGAGTGGAACTAAAAATTAAAAAAAAAAATACTAGAAATAATCAGTCCGCGGAAAACGTTGAAGTTCATCTAAATTTCCTACTACATACTAAATATACATATATATAAAATTATATATATATATATATAGTATATATGAATATTTGTACCAAAAATATACTAGAAAAGAGCATAAATATAATATATACATATCTAAAAATATAAATATATCGAAAACATGTTCATTTGAAAGCATCGAAAATTACTTTGAACGACGAATTCATCCGATTTTGCAGAAAATTTAATTAGAAATATTTGGAAAAAGTGTTTGAATAAAATAATCGGTTTTAATTTTGAAATAATTGAAGTTATTAAAGCAATCGGAATAATTTTTATAATTTAAAACTAATGAGATATTACAAAATAAGTGATATTTCCTATATTGTTTGAGCAACCACCATCATCAATTACTTAATTGACAATTTTTTTATATTTTCTCCTTCTGGTTCTAGTTCAATTTTTTTTTCACAGATGAAAATTTTAATTTTAAGTTAATTTAAAGTATATATAAAAAGCCAACTGCAAAAAGTTTACGTCGTGCGGAAAATTCGTAACGAAAAATTGCCAGCTGCATTTTTCCTAAAGGAAACCAAAAGTAATAAAATAAAATAAAATTCATTCGTTCAAGCTGAGTCGGAACGGAAACGGAGCGTAACGTTGCGAGGGGATCTGTGGATCGGGTTAGGAACGGAGTGAAATACTTAGAGTGGAGTGTATAGAGGTGTAGATTAGAGCGTAACGTTACGTTACCAAAACATAACGACGGGGTCGTAACCCAACGACCACCACACATACGATCGAAAATTAGAAGTATGACTTTTTCGCGGAAAAAAGTGCTGACGTTATGCGTGTGCACGCTATTGGCACTCATTAGTTTTCCCGGATATGTAGACTGTGCTAACAAAAAAGGATCACAGGCCACAGTAGCGCCACCACCGACGCCCATCGAACCCGAGGCTGTAATCGAAGAGGTCAATGCCAAGCAATTGGAGAAATTATTGACCGACAAGGATTATGTTGCTGTCTTCTGGTGTAAGTATTCTAAATATGGGAAGGGGATTGACGTGATCATTTATATAGTTCCACATGTATAGTAGGTGGCATTCTTATAATTACCCGGCTATCAGTAAGCAGCAATCAGAAACACCTAAAGTCAAAACTGTTTGTGGTACAAGAAAATATTTGCAAAGAACCAATATTTGTTGAAAAGTATCAAAAAATTAGAGCCAATAACCGAAATGAATTGGTGCTATAAAAATAAAAAAATTATATGGAAATACATATGTACATACACAGTGGCTGAACCAAATAAAAATCGAGGCAAAAAGGTGTAGTAAAGTGAACTAAACTGTACGGAGCATTGAAACCAGAAGACCGAAATAGTGTTGAGCATTCCAATTCAGTAACGATGGGTATATATGTACGTATTATATAAAAACCGCAGCAAAAAATTAAATCAAAAAAATGAGTAAAAAATAGAATAGCAAACGTATAACACAACAACAATAAGTAAGAGCAATGTGAAATAAGTAATAGAAAATAAAATCACAAAAGTCGAAATGAATAAAGTAATCGAAAAGCAAAAGAAATTTTGAAATTCTCACACAAAAACGTCTAAGGAAAAAATGTGAACAATTCTGCGCTCGAAAATTTTTGAAATTGTTACGCTGTGTTCATAAATATACATCAAAGTAGTATTGGTGACTCTTGAAAAGCTCCGCAAGCATACACGTCTATTGGTAACTGCTTTGTTGTTGTTATTAATGCCCAATGATAGCTGTTGTTTCTTATTTTTTTTTTATTATTTATATATACGCACATCAGCTGGCAGTAAATATTTACGAACACAAACAAAAGATTTGAGTGTAGTTGCGTGTGCCAAAGAGGGACAAACACTTGATTTTCAAAGTGCACCTGTGAAATTCACCTTGCTCAGTTTTCTACGCGACCAACAAGTTCGCTCCCGAAGAGAGAGTTTAGCGCAGTTTCCGCTCTTTTCAATAATTGCATTGTGTGGGAACACTTGGACTTTCCCAACACTGGGAACATTATTGAATTGACAAAAAAACTGAAATGCCTCCCTCGGCTTGCTGTTCCATTTATATTGTTTCGTTCGCGATTTTACTATCACTGGGGCACGTATCATTATGTAAATCGCTGAGATGGAGAAGAAACACCTGTTAATTCGTGAGTTGTGGCGTGAAAATGGCCAATAAAGTAAACAACACAATAACAATATTATTCCACACTTACAAGTGTATTTAAGCAATTGTTTCTAAGTAACCAACTGCTCATCTGGCCAACTGGCTGACTCAATATTGTTTGAAAGATTTTTAAATTCCGATTTTCAGCGAGTAAACTCAATTTCTGGAAACTTTCCTTTTCGACCTGTACCTAAATGCCAAATTTTACACTCGTAAATCGATAAACCTACAACTTTGATGAAAAATGATAATCTAATACAAAATTTACCGCTCTACCAAAATGACCTTGTTAGTTTTTTCCATAATAACATTCCTTCAAAAGACATATGCATTCATTCAAGTGCCTTGTAAATTCTGTGTTGCTCATACGACATGGCATTTATTATATGAATGCTCAGTTACTGAATTACTCAATTTAAATTAAAAATAAAGAGCTTGTTTACGTTGGATTCTTTTTTTTACGGAAAAATGTAACTTCAGCTTTTGCAAAAACAAAACCAAATAAATTTGGGAAACAACAGACACTCCGAATATTTATAAGTCTACTGAATTTATGAAAATTTGCTTACTTTTAGCTGTGATAATTAGCTTTAACTATTATAACAAGAAAAAACGTTAACTTTGGTTCCACCTTCACAGAAATTGATTCCGATCGTTCAATTTGTAAGGCGGCTAGTGGTCCAATATCGGCCGTTTCGACAAATACGCAGCTTCTTAGTGAGCAAATGACTGGTGCAAAATTTCAGATCGATAGCTTAAAAACTGAGCAACTAGTTTGTATATATGTATACAGACAAACGGACAGACATGACGGAAATATTTTATTTGGTCTCCAACGATTCCTTCTGGGTGTTACAAACTTCGTGGCAAACTTAATATGCCCTGTACAGGGTATAAATAAGACACACTAAAATTGCTAGTTACGGATCATAGAACTGTATTAGTTCAAACAGTCTATCATACCAAAACACTTATGTATATGAGTGATATCAAAAATATAATAGAAGGGGTTTACCTAAACAGTTTTAGATTTTTAGACAATTGCCATGTAAAAAAATTATGGTTTTTCTACACACCAGTTTCTATTTCTAAAATCTTTACTGCTTTGGGTTGCTTTCAACGTCACGATAGGATGCACGGAATTTCAAACTTTGACCATCTGATATTGTAATACGCTTAATTAATCGGAAGATCTCATCCCAAATTTGCTTTTATACATAAAATAGAGCACATGTACTCTTTCAAACATGTATGGACTCATCCATTTGGCAAGCGTAAAAGTAAGAACTCTGCACACGTGTCTTGCATACGTACGTACATAATGTAATGTAACGTAATGGAGAAGTCGGTCAAAAGATAAAACTTTCTGTATTTTTGCCGTTAATTATTAAAGATAATTTTCTTATTGGTTTGAAAATATACATGAAAGTTCAGTAAAATTACTGTAATGTATGTTTATAGCTATAAAAAATTCTAGCAAAAACATTTGATGAAAAGAAAATTTGTTGATTAAATAAACAATTGAGTTTATAGAGCAATTATATGTAATGTAAAGTGGTTTTCTTGTATTAAAACACCAGAAGTGGCATCAGTGATGTCCATACACATATTTTAGGAATCTTGACTGAAATTGAAACTATAAATTTAATACTGGCGATCATCGAACAAATTTGAAAAATACAGAGAGTATTAGTTTTGAAGCCGCGAATTATGTACCCATCGGAATCCTTTTCTAATTTACACATTTTGAATACTGAAGTGAATTCAGTCCAACCGGAAATGTGTAGCTTGTCTATAAATCCTTTTATTAGTTTATTGTTGGTTTATTTTCATTACATTTTCAAATGAACTTTTTTCCAAAATATTTATAATTAGTAAATTCACATAAAAGTTGAGTTCGGAATTTGATGACTTTAATTTGATTTTGTAACTTTTTTTGATCTAGTTGTAATACTGGTTCTGTGAAACTAATGTGACGCTTTTAAGAACAAAGCTAAGGTACCCTGGTTATCACACAAAATATTCTAGTAATCTTTAATTTAAAAAACGAGTAAAATTGAACATACGATAAAATACGTGGTTAACGCGTGACGTTTAGAAAAACTTAACTTTATTTTTTGTTAATTGGTTTTGTGTTACTACTATTATTTTAGATAAGCTCGTACTATATTTTTATAAACATTATGTTTATACTCGACTAATTTGATATCTCCAACGATAAATTTCAACACCGCGATATCACAGGTAGGGGTTCTTTTCGCCTAAACTGTGGATTTTGTAATTTTTGAATCATTAAAAAAATGTGTACTTTCTTTACTAAAGATTTGGACAAATACGATGATTTCCAACTTAAAAGCGTATTTAAATCAATATACGAACGGAATATTGCTATTCCTTACTCTTATGTTTATATGCATACATGTACATATCTCGCTTCAATAAAAAAAATTGTGATTTCTTTAGTCAAAAGTTACAGCGACATATCAAAAGCAAATCATTTCCGGCCTAAGAGAGTCATTCAAATGGCATGTAATTAACACAACCAATGGCCCCACTGTAAGAGACAACAGCGAACACGTCAGCAACGTTTGATCGATGGCAGTTTTGCATATTTATTTTTATTTTCATTTTGTTGTCATCTTTCAGTTTGAAATCAGATATAGTACTTAAAACGTCGCAGCATATTGACCCACCACTGACCAGCTACCCAAATTGAATGAGTATATACACATATACATACATATATGCCAAATAATAGTCAAAATGAATTAGAATCGTGCCTACAAATTACTAGAACCGTTCCCCAAGTTACCCACGGCCCTCGACGACCGAAATAGTGCGGGTGCCTGCAGGCGCTGACACGGGGTTTAGTTGGCAATGGCTGAAAGCGGCGTGCGGTCACTCAGCCGCAACCCTAATCGTTGTGTATAAATTTGTATGATTTAATTCAAAAAAATGTTGGCAGTTTAGTGATCATTAATAATCCGCTCTTGCTGGCAAATGCTGCTTTTACCATTCATTCAAGATTTTCGGATACCCACACATGTGCAAATAGCATGGGTGTATAATGAACACACACACCTACGTATGTTTGTTTGTAGTAATATTAAGTGCATTGTTGCATGGGAAATACTTAAAGGCTTCTCATCGTACTTTCACATTCAGACATATAAATATGTATGTGTTTATATACATATCTACTCTATGAATGTATCATCTTTTACAAAGTAATTTCGATTTTGTGAGATCTAAAAATACATTACCATAAAACGGTGAACGCATTCAGGCTACGTTGCCGCTATTTTGGAATGTCGAAAATTTTAACAACCAAATAATAGCTGTCTTCGATTCAACACTTCTTTCTTCGGTATCTTGCACGCTGCTCTCTTGTAAAAAAATGTACATGTTAAAGTTATCAAGTTATATTGATACAAGAGAGTATGCTGACACCACAGTAAAGTGGTATAACCGCTACCTTAAATGCTGTCAAGTTTTGTTTTACATATTTAGATCAGTTTGTACAATTTTGAATCGTTCATATAGCTAATTACTCTCAAAAAGAACGTATTAAAATTGTTTATTGATTTTTAAAACTCAAAAATTTAAATAAATTATAGCTATTTATAGAAAGTGCAAGGCACGAAGCTAAAGATTATTAAAAATACCATTTATTGTGTTTTTGACGGTGATTATTGTTCATACAATAGTGAAGATCAAGAGAGACAGATGTATCTAGTTTTATTCGTCTAAATATATTTGAAATTATATCTAAGCGATTACTAAAAACATTGAACTGAAATTTTTTTTATAAGCCAAGGGGCCATGTTGGTCAGAGGTTAAGCTGCCACTTCTTTTAATTTTTTAGAAAAATGCATGTCTGGAGACCTGGTATGATTTTCCATTATTACTTATAAAACAATTTTTCTGCGCTATTTTATTTCATATTTACTATTTCTTTATCTTTTCTTTAATTCCAGATGCGCGAAGCTGTATCACCTGTGACAAAGTATTAGCAGAACTCGAAAAAATCGACGATGACACCGATTCATTTGGTGTCGACTTCGTAAAGATTAACGACAAACGACTAGCAAAGCAATACGGAATAAAGAATTTCCCAGCACTCACGTACTTCAGGTAAATACGAGTAATAAACAAAAATTAACTCCACAAAGCGCGTATATAAGGTTACGCAGTTCAAGATATCGTGTTAATTAAATTTAAAAAAAAATAAAAAACCGAGCAGCCATCCATGGTCCAGTCCTCTACTATTTTGGGTAGGTTTGAATATTCGGTGGAAATGGATAAGCAAGAGTCTTCGAGTTGATGGGATAAAGTGTTTTTTTCCAAATTTAAGCAGATTAGAAAATTGTGTTCAAAATATGTACATTAAGAAACAAAACCGATATGGTAGCTTATAGACACTAATGTAAAAAAAATTACCCACAGGGAAAAAGAACCAATTATATATGATGGCGATCTCATGGACGAGGAGGGCGTACTTGATTTCCTTACTTCTCTCGAGGCCATGGACCTGCCCGATCGCATTGAAGAGGTTAATTCAAAGATACTATTAAAGATTATCGAGGATACTGATTTTGTAGCTGTTCTATTCTGTAAGTTCTTTGTTGTGTTCATAAGCCTTAATTATATTTTATTTTGCTATTTTCAAAAGTTGATTTTCATACTTGTTTATGTAGTCGATTTTCGCACATTTTGTAGTGACATTTGAAGCATTTATATACAATACCTTCTAAGCATCATTTACGAAGATTTGCACAAACTTATTTAGGCTTCTTTGGGCTCTTTAAAGAAAAATCCACAAGCAGTTGCAGTTTTTAGTCTATAATTTACCAGAGATTGAAAATTTTTTACTTAGTCAATAAACACCAGTTAGGATCAATTGCAATTTTTTTGACGCATAGATAACTAGACCTTTCACAAAGTTATTTCACACATCAACTTAAATTAAATAATTATAACAGAAAAGTAATTGTGACTAAAATTCAAACAAACACAAATGTTAGAACGCTTTCCAGTCAGGGTAAATTAGGACGGATTTCAGCTAACCTTTGCATTTGTGACTAACAAAAAAACAACAAAGAAATATAGAATAAATAATAAAACAATCATGTGGAGTTGAATGCGTATCGCAGATGATAAAATTGGACAAAATTTAATTTTGTAATCAAAAACAAAGAAAAACAAGCAAAGTAACAATATAATAACTATGAGAGCAGCTCATAATACGCTTCGAGCTCCTCACACTATGTTACATACTACTTACTGTCTACTAGACTTTGGATTTCTACTGTACATAAAACTGTTCTGAAATGTCGACTACTTCAGGTCCCGATCATGCTACGTGTCCGCCTAGGGTGATGGGTAAGTGAAAGTGTGCATTTAAAGTTGGATTTTCGAAACTCGCCTATTTATCAGTCAAAATTGCCTACCCTCCAACTTACCAACTGCATCACCACTACCACCTCTACCAAGAAAACTGCAACAGCCAACAACAATCATTTAATTAAATCTCTTGTTTTGGCCCTGTGTAAATAGTTATTAATTTTCTCCTACGCACTTCATCCTGCACTGAATGTCATGTCCTAAGTGATCCATCTTTGTTCTTTTTATCACCTTATGACAAACTTTTATAGTTGCCAGTACACTCCACTTGTTTGTAAATATGTATATATGTATGTTTATGGTGTATACAAAAATATGTATATTTGTATAAGCTGGTGTTTGTATTTGTGCTGGTGTTTCTATGCAAAAAACTAACGGTACTTATATTGATCTCTAAAGCTTTGCATTGCTTCTGCTTTAACGCTTTTTTATGAAACAAAACTTTATTTGCTTCTGAGTCGGTGTGTATGTATTCTTAGATATGCATTATCTAAGCAAGTATGTATATGTATGATATATGTGTAAGTAAATATTTAAACCCAGTACAATAAGCTGATATGTATACAAAGACAAATAATCATATATTTTGACATGTGTACACATATTTGGTGTTTTGATTTAAAGAGAATATTTATGGGCACCGAAATAAAAATGAAACGATTTAAAAAAAAAATTACAAGTCTTCGAATTTACAAATACATATGTAAATATGTGTGCTGGTGTTTACAAATTTTGAAAATTAATGGAAAGACGTGAACTATGTTTAGTGAAATACTTGAGGCCTTGTTATAAAAACGAGAAGCAAACAACTTATGTTTCGTTAAAAGAAAGTTTATCCAAGATATTGACCAGGTTATCCTCTGCGGATTACCTACTTAATAAAATTTCAATAGCACATTCCATTTTATCCAATATTTGCTTAGGCACCTTTCGAGCCATTAATACAATAATATCTTTGATACAATAATATCTTTGACTAAAATCTGTACGAGTCCTGTAATATCAAAAAATTCAACTTGGCCTAGTCTTACCTCAAACTTGCACTTCTATTATTTATTGAACTTATTTCATGACTCTGCCTTCCGACTTGTAAAAATTTACATACCTACTAAAATTGGCTCTCAGCGCGCAAGTTTGAGCTGAGCTTACGCCTAGATTCCAGGCGCTTTGACAATTGGCCTTAGTATTTTGTTTTGGAATTGCTTAATGACATTCTTATTATTTGCGTTTGCTCATCCCCAGAATTGTGCACCATAGCTCCATATCAGTATGACTCGTATTTATAGATAACACTGATCAACTAACAACTAATATTTTATATATGAACTTTACACCTTGGTTTTATGTCAAGTGCTTCCGCTAAGCTAAGTATTTAGCGGAGATAAAGTACAGTATTCGTACACCGTCTTTTTTATTGATCTTTATTTGCTATTTCTTTGCACATGGTAGGACTTTATCTACAGTTTTTCGAAGATTAGTACAATGGTTCACTGGTGTTAATTACTACGAACAGCAATCAACTGCTTAATCAAATTTTACAATAAGCTGAGATCGAAATGTAAGATCAAGGCAGAGATCCAGAGGCTTAAGCTTAGGAGAATGGTCTCTCTGAGGTCTGATACCTGCTAAAGTTGGCTTGAAAAGCACATATTTAATAAGTAGGCGCAACTATTGTTTTTGTTAAAAAAAAGAAATAAATAAATAAATACAAAAAGATAAATTAAAGAACAGGAAATGCAATTCATTTGAACTATTTTGGTAGCAGACTCGCGAACATAAAAGATTAGACAAGTTCATATGGCTCGTATGTTTTATCAACGACAACAAGATGCCCACCCCACCGGTAGCTACAAGAAAAGCCGCATAAAATTAGAAAAGTAAATTTAACAAACATGAATACAACTCTAACTACAAATACATTTGCCAATTTATACGCTGACGGTGGATGAATTTCAGCGTGGCATGCGTATTTGTATGAGAAGCTCGTGTATATGCTATGTGACTGCATGAAAAAATACTCAATTGTAGCACCGAATGTCTGGGCTTGTCGCCAGCCTAATGGTGATGGCGGTAGCGCTGTGTGGCATTGGGCGTCTCTGGCATTTTATTTCTTGAATTTCAAATAATTAGGACTTGGAGAATTAATTTTTAGTATTAGTTTTGCATGCTCATACATTTTTTGTGCCAAGAACTAGCCTGTTGGAAATATACGGATATATATATATTTAAACTTTCTACCGTTGGAAGTTCAACATTGGAAATATAATCATCTTTAAAAATGCTATTTACATATATTTGAGGTATTTTCAATTTGATTCCTTACAATTTCTTTTAATTGTTTTAATTTAATTCTTTCGGTTTTCTTGGAGGGGGTTTGGCGATGGCTTTGGTTCCATAACAACTTTACAAAACGAAGTCATGGACTTACATCTCAAGAGCAGGGGAGGGGTTGGTCATCTGTCAATATCAAGTTTTTTTGACTTAAAAAGAAATTTCCGTTGTAGAAACTTGAAAGGTTAAGTAATCCTAACCCTCAAGAACTTTTTCACGCATTTTCAAGGAGATATAATAAGTTATTTTATTAGTATTAGCAGTTATTTACGGTATTTGGATAACAATAGTGAGAAATTAAAATAAAAGGGGTTTTCTCTTTGAGCGTCCCTATTTCAATATTCGTTGACTAGATCATTATTTATTTAGGACATCTTGACCATGCACTCTTATTTGGAAGCTTTTCTCCATCTAAAGGAAACTTCTGTCTGAAGTGAAAAATAAACTACGCAAATGAGTTTTCGAAAATTGACTCCAATAGCAAAACAAATGAGTTCAAATTTTAAATTATAATATTCATAAACATCGCCGCCTTACCGCCTTAGCATAATAATGATGTGGCGCGTATTTGGATTTAAATATCCGCATCGAATGCGGCAACAACGCAGGTTTATGCACACGCAAAGGCTGGGGCGAGCGACATACGCACCCATGCGCTCGCTGCGCCAGAATTAAGAAATACAAAGCAAATTCCCCAAAGTGTATTAGCACGTAATTTTTGAGCGTTTGCATGTGTGTGTTCTGGCGTGATTGTGAAGCGTAAAGTAAAATGTAAAATCACGAAGAAATCGTGGCCGCGGCCGCAGCCACAGCCAGGTTAGTGTCCACCTACAATCGCTGATAAAAATAGCACTGAAACGATTTCGCGTCAACGACAAGGCGAACACCAAGGGGCAATAAGAAAAAAACAAGAATCGCGACGACAAACACATATCGATTTTCTATTCTTTTTTTGCAAACCTACGAATGTATTTATCTATTTGGTCTTACGTAGTACTCATACATACATATGTACCTGCACACACTTGCAATTAGGCATATATTTGTACATGCTTTCGCAAGCGACTCTACAATTGTATAACTTGGTTTAAAATTTACAAGCAATGAACTCGTAAATAATATTTTCAAGGTCAACTTTTATGGACATATTACATTTGTGTCTATTGCGAGCATGAAAGTAAATGAGTAAATGAAAATATCGCGCAAAGATATAGTCTTATAAAAGATCGGAAAGGATCCATTTTGTTGCTATGTTCGAGTATCGTGCTAACGTTTCAATTGTAGTCACGAAGAAGGATGCAATCGTCTATTTTATCAAACGGCCAAAAATAAAAGTACGAATGCCCGTCTCAATATCGCCAACAGTGCGTTGGTTAATTTCCACAACATTGAGGATCCTATCCTAATAATAAATACTATTTGCTGGAATTGGCAACTACCCTCACTTACTAAGATTATAGATATATTGTTTATGAGATTCTTAACAATGAGTACATATTCATAAGATCACTTAATGTCATATACCATACAGACATTAGATATATGATAAAAGAAATTTATATAAGAGGTGAACGTTGCCTGTGAACTACGTCTCACAATTTATAGTTTTTCAAATACGTTTATATCGGAATTCAGTACTTTGATACAGCCACAAGTCTCTAAATTTGAGATTTTAAGTTAGAGACAATTTTTGTGACTTGAGACGATTTTGCCATTCAGCACGTGACAGTCACAAAAATCTCTCAATTGAAAACTAATAAATCCAATCAGCTATTACGTTTCGTTATTTAGAGATATTAAATTTTATATAACGCAGTCAAAAAGCATAATTACCAATAAAAATAAATATAAAATGTTACATATATGTATGTATATTCAACTTATCCTGTTGGGGAAACACAACAACGGAATATGACGTATCTATAAAAATATTATCAAGAAGCAGATAACATTGGCAAACAAATGGGCCTATACATTTTCATATAACGTGAAGAATGTGGGTGAAGGGGAGGTAAGCTTCATGCCCGACAAAGTATCCTCGTTAAAATCGGCTCTGACTTGAACTAAACCACTTTGCTATTTAGCGTCGTCGCAGCTGGTGCTGTAATAAAAGCCAATGAGATAATAAACTTAAATTCATTTGGATTTCATTTTTCAAAAGCTTTTACTTAAAGATTCAGTAGTTTTATCGCTCCGCTCATGGAGTGGCCCACCAATACATATTCGTATATTCATCATTAGTACCAGCACGTTTATGTTTGTAGTAACCTTCGCATTGAACAAAAAATTGTTCCTTTCCGTCTTATGTTTTTAACCAAAAGGAGGTGTTTTAGAATTGCAATTAAAAATAATTGCTTCTCCTTGCTCTTTTTAACAATGCTCTTGAGGGGGCGGTGAATGCAGGTGTGGGCAATCCGTAAGCAATGGCGTGAAATGGGGTGGGAACCTTGCGGCAGTCAGGGACTCACAGGTTTGCTAGCAGTCTGGTCCATTTTGTGTTGCGATTGCTTTTCATGAAGCTATTCGCTGTGGCCTACAAGTGTCTCGTATGGGTGAAGGCGAACATGGCCAGCGCGTGTGCCGCCATTAAATGATCTTCGCCATGTTCTTGTTGGCTTCGACTGTCGCGATTTCGCCGCTGGTAAACGCTTTGTGAAAATAGCTTACGAATTGACAGTCGAACATTAATTTTTGCGCTTGGACGGGCCAACAGAATTTTTAATTGCATTCGCAGTAAAACACATAATTTAGTTTTGGTACAACTCGAGCAAACGCACACAAACACAATACAATACCTAGATATGCGAACATAATTACATAGCTGCTTGTGTGTTGAGTGAAATTTAAATGTAAAAACATTTCATTTTGAAAGAAATTCAAATGGCCTGAATGGTTGGCAGTGCTGAAAATGCACTTTAAATCGAAATACCTGGTGTATACTTTTTAGCTTTTTCGCGGTTTTAGCTAGCAATTTTGTTTTTGGTGTAGTGCAATGGGGGGCGTATACGTGACCAACCTGTTCCTACTTGCATACCATATATACACAATTATGGGCGTGTGTGGTCGCGCAGCACACTTGGACGCAAACAATTTCTGTTTTAAAAATTCAACCGTCGAATAAGTGTCAGTAATTCTCATGACGACCTCTGCCTGAGGTCTTGTGCGTATATATAAACTAATTTAATTTGAAATATAAATTTGCTTCCTCGCAGCTCCAGTAGGATGGTAAGGGAGCATCCGCAGCCATATGCATATGTATACCATACAGAACGTTAGCTTAACAAATGGAGGTGTCTTCCAGGTGCTAATAAAAGTGATTCGATCTTTCCATCAACCATTCTAATTTTACAACAAGGCAATTCCTGTCAATGATTATGTTACACGAACTCTTGACCATCAATCCTGACTTTCTCTTACAATTCCTCCAATTATACTGTGCAGACGGCACTACAAGTCGCATATCCTGCATCATAGTTCAGGCTTGTTACGAAACGATACATTTATCTTTGTATACGCGTATATGCTTGTTAATAGCATTACAATATTATTTTTTCCATATGTGTAACATAAACAAATGTTTAAATTCGTTTTGTCATGTATAATAAGCCGAAATACAACAATCTGATGCACTTAAAACTTAAGAGATACAAGTATATTTTGCTTTCTTTAGTTATTGCTCGTACTGATCAACTGAAAAGTGAACTAAGAAATCTGATCGCTTTATCAAAAAGTAAACATTCGTAATCACAAAGGCAAATGGCTGACATTTTCCATCTCAGCCAGCCGTTGTGAGGAAAAGTGTTATTGCTTTTGTGGCAGTGTATCTCTTCGAATAGTCGTCAAGAAGTTTTCGTGAATTATTATCGTTTTTACAGTGGAATATGAAAAATTTATATTAAACTCATTTTATAACTAAAAATCGTCGTTGTGGTCATAAATTGCTAGTAAATATATAAATGTATAAATGTATGAATGTATGAGCATTTGGCTCTGCACACATCTCCGAGCTGTAATGAGTAATTTCACGAAATTTATGTATTAAAAACATTTTAATAAAATACACAATCAAATACAAATTTGGCTTCGGGCCAATTTAATTTCACTTAAAACTTGGTAAGAAAGATGATAGCAACGGATTAAGAAATGACTTATCAAAGGCAAATGTGGTGTACATACATATGTATGTTGACTTGGTGGCAGTAGATACCATATGTATAGAGTCTTGTTTTTATTGATATAAAGACATCAAGTTTGTATATAGTGAGTATTTGCAACAAAAAATATAAAACAATTATATTTAAATTTAACTAAGTATAAATAATTCTATTTAAAAAAAGATAATTAAGTAAAACAAAATAAGATACAACTATGAGCTCGCTGTTCTTCTACAAAATTCACCACACCACGCTTTCGGTGAGTAGGTGTATTTTCAGGTGACATTCTCCCGATTTGTACGAGCATGCGCCGTTATTATAAGACTCAGAATAAAAAGAAGTAGAAAGCTTCTAGAGAGAGCTAAAGCTTTTTAACTTTGAGAATATGCTCTTTACGGAACCAGAATCGTTTGTTTACATGTCCGCAGCGAACAATGCGTTTACTTACAATAGAAAGATTCACGCAATTCAATAAAATTCTGTTCTGATGGTATTATGAAGATATGCGAAATAAAAGTGTATGGAATATATTTGTGGAACTGATACCGATTCTGAAATCTCGCTTCTACTTTAACAATGTTTTATGCTGATTATAAAAGTTAAGTTCACGGCTGTTTGCCGCTTTTAACTTTTACGCCCAACAAGTTCGATATCGCAGACAATAAGTTAGATAGCAAATGATGATAAATGAATACGTTACCCTTGACGTAAGGTGAGCTGATACCAAAATATACAATGATATGATAGCATCGGTTCAAAAATTTTCAGTTAAGAATCATTGATTTAACTCTTTTTAACGGCTGATAGCATGCGAGAGTATGTGGTGACCTTTAACCATCTCTAAAATATTTACAAATAAGTCTCTGAGCAAAAATCAAAAGTTGCACGGAAACATTTGGCGAAAAACTTAATTCGTTATCGTTAACAAAACTGGCATATATAATATGTAGATGACAGAGAACATTTCTTTGATATATGTATGTATGCATGTATTCCAGGCTAAACATGATGTTTAATTCTGTATGAATTTGAAATATGAAATGTAAAGCTCACAAAAATAAGTCCTCAATAAAAATATCAAAATCCCTATGGACATAAATTGAATGGAAACAGATTGAATTTATCAATACACATATACATACATATGTATGTATACATATTTATTATACCATACACGTACACACGTCTCCTTTGCACGCGCAAAATCACACATACACACGCACCCGCATATATGTACACAAACGCGCGCCCAGCGCCACACACACTTGTACTATAATCCAGATGTCCACGCCCTGCCTACTTGTTGTTACACATAGTATGTATGCCCTGCGCTGCTCAACGCCTAAAATGCACCCAATTCCCGATCGAAACCTATCGATTCTTCCACAAATACAATATTATTTGCGATTATCAGAATTCGATATTAACAAATATCTGTTCCACCCCCGAACAGATAAGCCGCAATGTCGCAAGTGTGCCAAAGCTTTGCAAGAACTGGAAAACATCGATGATGAAGCAGATCAATTGGGCATCGGTTTTGTCAAGATACATGATGAGGCATTGGCCGAGGAATATAATTTGGGTAATCTTCCAGTATTGGTTTACTATCGTCATCAGACGCCGATCATATATGAAGGTATGAGGAACAACGTAATCACTGCCATCAAAGGCCGCACTTCACAGCTGTCATAATCCCCGCTAGTTTAACATTATACATGTATATAATATATGTTATCCAGGTGAATTGTCTCGAGAAGAGGATGTCTTAGAATGGCTGGTGCAAAATAAATCTACCGGTGATGAAGATGACGTCATAGAAGATGTTACGGCTAAGACGCTGTCCACACTAATCAGCAATATCGATAATCTGGTTGTATTATTCTGTACGAATTCTTAATTATGATACTTCGAATACGAATACTGACGGTTCTCATATATTTCACGACTAGATGATCATGGTAATGATGATTCAATGACCGTATTGGAAGAGCTAGAACAAATTGACGACGACTGCGATAAACACGGTATTCAATTTGTGAAAATTGACGATCCAAAAGCCGCAGCCGAATATGGAATCGATACGGTAATGCATGAGTGACAATTTTGCGAATACATACATATGATTAATAATAATGTCTATGCGCACGCGTATAAACAGATTCCGGCAATAGTATATTTCGAAAAACAAATTCCAAATATTTATGACGGTGATCTCATGGCCGAGGAGCAAATACTCCACTGGCTGGTGGGACAATTAGAGCATGACGAAATCGAGGATGTCACCGATGAGATGCTTGACAAAATGGTGAAGGAAGGCCGTGTTATGGCGGTGCTATTTTGTAACTATACCAATCATTTGACTACTCTCACTCTCCTGCCTCCTCAGCGTGCCGTGTTAATGTACTGACCCATTTTCCCATTTTAGATGATAACAATGATAAAAAATCACAGAAAGTACTCGAAGAATTGGAGAATATCGACGATGAATGTGATGCATTGGGTATAACTTTTGTGAAAATTGACAACCCTGAAGAAGCCATCGAATACGGCATAAACAAAGTTCCTAAACTAATTTACTTTGAAAAAGGCATTCCAACCATTTACGAAGGCAATCTTGAGGATGAGGAGAAATTGCTGAAATGGCTCGAGGAGCAAACCACCTCCGATCAAATTGAGGATATAACCGATGAGATGTTGGATTTGATAATAGAAAAGATGCCTTATGTCGCTGTGCTCTACTGTAAGTTGTTGCATGAAATCTAGCTCAAACTGCCCAACAAAGCTAGTGCGAGCCAACCCGAGCGTGCTCGTACTCGCTGCATTGACATTATACTTATTTGCAATACTATATGTTGCTTTAATAAAGCATTTTATGTAGATGTAGATATTCGATGTTCGTGCGTGAGTTTGTTTTGTGTAAAATATATATTGTTACAATCTTTCGGCGCAAATCCGTTTTTATGTCCGTGTTTTATGGTAGACGTAAGGCCCTTTCACGCTAAGCCTTAATTATGCTTTATGTGCTCACTTGGATGTTAATGAATTTAAACCACTATATAAATCTGTTTATTAAACTAAAATTATCGCACAAACTACACAGATGTCTGCACAGTCTATAAGTGTAGCGCCAAGATAACGTCAGTTACGATCAAATATGTATATGGTAATTGCAAGCGATTATTGGAGATTGCCTTATATTTCTGATCACATCTGTGTAGTTAAAATGAGCTCTAAATTTTTATTGCAATCGATACTTGCTGCTGTGTCAACGAAACTTAACCACTAACATCTGATGAAGAGCTGAGATATGATTTAAAATGGATCAGTAATAAATAATGATAGGCGATAGAATTTCTCCACAGACGTTTGACATTTAGCATATTAGTGTATTGAAGTATAACTGTAACAGGAATAATTAGGTTTTTTTTAATATAAAATCCCCCTTTTTTCGTAAAAGTATTAATAGTCATTAATTTCTGTGCCCATAGATGACAAGGACCAAAAGAAATCGCAAAAGGTACTCGCCGAACTGGAGAATATCGACGATGAGTGCGATCAAAATGATATCGCTTTCGTCAAAATTGACGACGACAGCGAGGCGAAGGAATGGGGTATCGATGAAATACCGTCGATTGTCTTCTTCGAACGTGGCATACCACATATTTATGAAGGTGATTTGATGAAAGAAGACGAACTCTTGGGTTGGCTCGTACATCAAAAGCGCCACTCGGAGATCCCCGAAGTCACCGACGAGATGAAGGATAAGTTGGTTGAAAATACTGAACATTTGGCCGTGATTTTCTGTAAGTTTGTATATATAGCCTTTCAATCAAAATCCTAAATTCTCTTAACACTTTAAAGAGGAAAGATATAAGGTTTATATACCCCCTGCCACGCCCACAAAACACCATTAAACGAAAACCTATAAAGTGCCTTAACAAAGCATTAAATTAAGATATAGAACTGTAATTTGGTACAGGAGATCTCAGTAGCAAGGAGCACCTGTGGACTAAAAAGTTTTAACGTACATTTCTCCCAAAACCATTCAAGCTAAAATAACCAAATTTGCTCGGATAAATCCCTTAAGCTCTCCCACCGACACTGTACAAATGAAATCTGATTATAGCCCCACTCACTCGCCATATAATAGTACTGTTAAAAACTACTTAAATCAATGACTAAATACGCCATAGACGTTAAATTTTACCCCCGAGATGGTATGAGAGGATAAAATTGGGCGAAAGCTTGACCTAGCACCCATATAACTAATATCAGGATTGTTGAGCATCCATCTGACTTTACTCCATATGATTGGTGATGCTATGTGAGACACCCTTATGAAACCCTGGGAGCATTTTATTAGTCTGTGGCATGTTAGTGGTATGTGGTATTGGCAAAATTTGATAAAAATCAAGTCAATACTACCCCCAACTCCTATATACCACTTACAATGATTTTCGTTATTCTAACAAGTTTTTGCCGAATATGTCGTTTAGTGAGTATTATTTATATATAAAATTGCTTCAAAATATGTTCTCGAGTTTAGGTACCTAAACGATATCAATATTAATGCGAAATCTCCGGTTACACCCGAACTTAGCTCTTCCTTACCTGTTATTGTTTTATTTGTATTTCTTATGATTAAGAAGACACCGAAAGAATAGCTTAACGTGTTCTAATTGATTTTATGTACTTTTGATCAGATGACAAGGATGATAAACAAGATATTCGCGTCCTCAACGAACTGGAGAATATTGACGATGAACTTGAAAAGGAGGGCATTGTGATCGTACGCATTGACAATGCCGCCGAGGCTAAGGAATACGGATTAGACCATTTGCCTGCGCTCATTTATTTTGAGAACAAAATACCAGCCCTATACGAGGGCGATCTAATGAACGAGGACGAAGTATTGGAATGGCTGATTTTGCAAAAGCGTACCGCCACCATTGAGGAGGTCACCGATGAAATACTGGTCGACTTGATCAACGACCACGAGTATGTAGTGGTATTCTTCACCGGTCCCTGTGAGCCGGGTGAAAAATGCGATAAGACATTGAATGCATTGGAGAGCATTGACGATGAACTGGATGAAGCGGGCATCATCTTTGTCACCACCGAAGACACCAATATCGCCAAGAAGCACAACATAAAGAGTTATCCACAACTGGTATTCTTCAGAAATCGTGATCCATTACTTTTTACAGGCGATTTAGATGATGAAGACGAGGTGTTGTCATGGATCACAGATGAAGACACTCTTGAGATTCCGGGTAAAATTGAGGAAGTGAACACTAAAATGTTGGATAAGATACTGTCGGAGAATGATCACGTGGTGGTATTCTTTTGTAAGTGAAAGATTATCGATGTCTTTTGGTATATTTTTAAGCACGCTTCTCTTTCTAACTTTATTACAGACCGTGAGGGTGATAAGCGCTCACAAAAGATTTTGAATGAATTGGAGAATATCGATGATGAATGTGAAGAAAAGGATATTGACTTTATCAAAACTTCTGATCCTGATGTTGATAAGGAATACGATTTGGCTAGCTTGCCGGCATTAGCATTTTACAGACACAAGTTCCGGACGATATATGATGGTAAGCAAAGATGGAAACTCATTTTTATATCGTCCCTCATAACAATTGTCGATTTTTGTATGCTTCAGGTGATCTCATGAAGGAGGAAGAAATTCTGGATTGGGTTATCGACCTCCATGAGTCCACAGCTGACGTTATCGAATCTGTTGATCGCAAAACTTTGCAAGTTTTGATTAACGACGTAGAACACTTGGCTGTCTTTTTCTGTAATATACATAGTTTAAATAAATTTGTATTATCTGATTGAAAATATAAACTTCTTTAGATGATGACAAATGCGAAACATGTCCACAAATCTTGGAGGAATTAGAGACCATTGATGATGATACCGACAAACACGGCATACAATTTGTCAAATCAAATGACGTGAAGTTGGCGCATGAAATCGGAATTTTTGCATTCCCCGCTTTGGTTTATTATGAAACAGGCGTTCCAATCATGTATGACGGTGAGTTGGGAAATATGCTATTATTATGCCTGGTGTAGCTAACTTCCTAAACGATATATTGTATAAATACGTAATCACTTTTTTATAATTTTTCCGACAGGTAATCTTAAAAACGAAAATCGTGTGTTGCAGTGGCTGATCAATCAAAAGAGTAAGTGTTCTTTGTTCGAAAGTTTCCCAGTTTTGGTTGAGAACACACATACAATTCTATTCCTAGTCCTTTAACTCGAGACACACACGCCACATAGCATTAATACTCTGTCAATATATTCAGATTCTTTGACTCATAAGAACCCTTATTCATGTAGTAAATTATACACACACTTAGATATCAGTCTATCTACCCTAGTGAATACACCAATTGAGCAATGATGAAAAAATAAAATTTGTTAACTTTGTTAGCGCCATACATTGAACGTATGGCTAAGCGCATTATCAAAGCAATTCTGACAGTCTAGGCCATATCCATAACGAAGAGGTGCGTATATTTAGTTGAATGAAAAAAACATATTTTTTGTAGTTTACGAAGATATCTATCGTTTACGTATTAAAACCTTCATTACTCATATGCATTTTTTTAATTCAAATTGACTCGCCTGATTTTCAACCACATTCCTCTACAGCTCGTATTACCTTAATTAAAAAAGACTTTTTCTGTTAATTGAATACCCCTTTCAATGGTATTAAGAAGAAAGCTTTGATATGTTATCAAAACTAAACTGTTGTCGATACAGGTGAGGATGATGATGATGATGATGATAATCACGATGATGATGATAATGATGATGATGATGATGATGATGATGATGATGATAATGATAATGATGAGGATGAGGATGATAACGATGACGATGACGAGGACGAGGAAGATGACGACATTGACGATGATGACGAAATCGACAAACAAATTAAACAGAGAAGAAAAGGACGAAAATACATCGATAACGACGATGACGATGACGATAACGATAACGATAACGAAAACAATGACTATGACGATGACAATGACAATGACGATGATGGCGATGACGACGATGATGAAATAACCAAGTTGGTTTACCCCAAAGCGGAGAAAAGTAAAGAAGCACAACTCAAACGATTAAAGAAAAATATTAGGAAACAACAAAAAACCGATGATGATGATGATGATGATGTTGAAGGGGATTTTGATGACAAAACGAATAAAAAATATAAACTAATTAAGCGCAGGATTGCATATGACGAAGATGATGAGGATGATGAATCCGGTGACGACGATGACAACGATGATGGGGACGACGATTATGACGGCGAAAGTGAAGATGAACCACATATGCGAGTGCGATATCAAAAGCCGGGTTCACGAAGATTAAGATTTAAAAAAATAGTTTTTAAAAGTCGTTTAATAGAGGCAGACGACGATAATGATGAGGAATATGAAGATGAGGACGATGATAATAATAATGATGGTGATGATGATGATAATGATGATGATGATGATGATGATGACGACGATGGTAATGATAATGATGATGATGATAATGATGATAATGATGATGATGATAATGATGATGATGATGATGATGATGATGATGACGACGATGATGATGATGATGATGATGATGACGATGATGATGATGTTAATAATGGTGATAATGACGAAAATGAGGATGAAAAGCAAAGTGACAAAAAAAGAAAATACATCTCAATGTCACAACGAAAAAACCAGCGCCGCAAATCGAACGATAATGGTGAATATGATGATGATAATGATGCCATAGTAAAAGACCGTAGTAAAAAAGAACATCAGCGTAGCAAACTGAATAGAAACAAAAAATACAAAGACAGGAATGACAACGACGATGACGACGATGGCGATGACGACGACGGCGACGACGATGATGATGATGATGCGAAAGACGTTAAAAGTTATCGAAAATTGCGCAAGCCAATAAAACCTCAGAAAATTCATCAAGCTAATGAGCTTTGCAACAAACGATTCTTAGATAAGTTAGGTAAATCTTTAAAAACATTGTTGGCAACCGAAGACTTAGTATTGTGGCACTCCCCACCACTTCCTTTATTGATGTAATCCACATATAAACGAGTTTGTTCATAACTTTCCCATTAATTACTTCATTTTAATAAAGAAAAACTTAACATCGTGTCTGTATATGTTTATCTTAACCGATACAGGATATACCATAGTGTCAAAGCATAATCGTGCAATGCCGAAAGGCACAAAATACAATAATTTCTTACCGAAAGCTGAAGGTAAAACAAACGACTTAAATATGTTCAAATTTTTGGCTCAAATCAGCAACAGTAACAGTGCTTTTCGTGTGCGAAAGTAAATATATGCATCGAATTTGTAATTACCATATATAATGCGTCCTGATTTACATAAGCCACCCAGCAAAATGCTTTGCACGATTACGCACAAGTCCTCCTGAAAGTGTTTCATGTTACAAGTGTCCCTAATTGGTTTACGAGGAGCATTCGGAAACGAAAATAAGATACTAATATTAATATTTTACTGAATTTATTACACTAATAACAACAATACACTATTGCCTATAAACTCGTTAGCACGGAGCAAATTTACGAAAGATGTGTATTCTGCTTGGGTTCTGGTACTTTTTCGAGGATCATTGGCTTCACTGCGACCATTAAATTTAGAGGGTAGACATTTTCATATTCATATATTCTTCTTCACATGAATTCCAATATTCATATCAAATGGATGGACGGGTTTAGTGCTACTTCATTTCAAAGTTATTTGAAAATTCCCGAACTTGTAGCTCAAATATAATAAAACTTAAAAATACCTGGTTAATAAGTCATAAATGCTTTTATCATATGACTATTTCTTATTCACATTTTGCAGATGGTGGATTTGATTTTGGTTTAGTTATCCTTAATAATATTATGAGAGTACCATATTATTTCATTACTTTAAGCATGTAACTTTAAAATCGAATGCTTCAAATGATATTCGTAGTCGTGTGTGTCCAATCAGGCCAATATTGATAAGTTAGCTTTTAAATATAAGTGCTTCAGTATGCACGGACGCTTGGAACCCATAATTCGCGAAAGAATGCAAGTATTGAAAGTATTGAGTGAGCTCCTCAAATGCTATTCCACTTACAAGCACTAACAAATTCTGTCTATTGATCATTCCTAGCCTAACACGTGCCCCACTTTAAGCCCTCCAATGATTGGTACAGTATTCATTCTTATCTTATTGTTGTGACCTTAGTCAACAGCCTAAAGCAATGCGATTGTGTTAAAAAGTTTGAAATGTATCTCCCATAACTAATGTCTAATAATTTGTATGTGTGTATGTGATAATACAACAACCATCAATGCAGTGCACTTTAAATTTTCGCAATTTGCCTAATAGCAACACTGAAAAACTTACCACGTTAGACGATTTTTTTACAATTTCGTTGGTTCATACTGTAATTTTACGGATTTTGGAAGATTCAACGAACTAACAACAACTACAATAAAAATAACATAGCTGACACAATGTTTTTACGAAAAAGACTACAACTTGATTTTTTCGAACGTACAAAAACCAAGTTAATAAAGAGGATTAATAACAAAATACAACGAATATAATCATTGCCGTTTGTGGAAGATTTTTTGTTTTATTTTTGAGTTTCTTATTTTATAAGTAATGGTTGTATTTGTTTAATTATTAATGCGTACTTATGTCATAAACTAAAAGCAAAATCATTCTTCCTGTAATATAAACTACATTTATGTGAAACAAAAAAAAAATATGAAATAAGAAATCTCAAACCATCTGAAAGTATTAAAAATTTAAAAAATACCAAGAAAAAAGACAAATTGATTATAAATATATTTAGATATGTGTATGGAATTATATACGATTATGAAAATTAGTCACTCATTGAATACAATTGAATCGCTTAGCATATAAAGCACATATTTAGAAGAATGTCAGCATCAAAAGCATTTTGTCAGTTATAAATTCTGTTTGTGCCAATTTTGTGTGTTTCTTTGACTGGGCATACAAAATAGCCTACTCTGTGATAGAAGTACTAGCAGGTAAAGCACGCTTTGCGCCAAAATCCATTTAGAAAATTTCTAAATTTTATTTGTAAAAAGCACAAACGAGAAATCGAAGGAAACGTTGATAATAAATAAACAAGAAACTTTTCTAAAACTTATTTGCAACTTGAAATGTCAAAGTAAGTTTTTACTAACTTTTCTGTTTTTCTTCATTAGTTTCAATATTTCGAATATTGCTCTAAAGCATTTGTGCTGAGCGTTAAAATATAAATAAAGAACAAAGAATAGGCGATATATCAAAGAAATTGCGAAAAATGTACCGTTAAATATGAGTACTATCTACCACTAAAAACACGAAAGAAACCCTTCTTTAAGGGAAGGAACTAGAAAACTAAACAAAGCTAGACATTTCTAAACTATTTCGTTACTTTCGTGTACTTCTCCACTACTCTTTTGCGCTCTCTTTTAACTCTACTTAGTAACATTTAGTTTGCATATATTATGTTTTGTAATTAAAAGAAACCGTTAAATAACAACCGCAAATCATTCGTTTATGAAGTTTGTATAGACGTGCTTTGTTGGCAGACTTGCATTTTTTGTCTCTAGATGCCACTACTTTTTTGAGAAACAATCTGACAAAATGTTTTTGTTTGTTTGCACACAGATGACGAATGTTTCTATGTTGGATTGGGTCACGACGGCAGTTCAGCACGGCGTGGTAGTAATTACGCACCGAACGCATACAAACCATTCCAATGTTGTCCCACTAAACTGGAAAAGTCAACCAAAGTTCCCAAAATGACTGCACAACGCATTGGCCACGGCGACGGCGACGCGGCGAATAAGCGCGGCGGCAGCTCTGCGGGCAACTTTCAATTTGGGCCGGCCACAGCGAGCGGTGGGACAGGTGCAGCCGGCAAGTCGGCCAAAGCAGCTCATAAAAAGAATAAGGAGAGCAAAACCCCATTTAGGCAAATTGTGAAGAACGACGCAGACGATGATGACGACGATGACGATGATGCTGATGACGACGACGACGACGACGATGCGGCTGCACCAATGGGCAAAGTCTCCTACACAAGTCCCCGTAAATCTGGCGGTTCTGCAACGAAGAAACCAACTGGCGGCAACAAGCAGGTCGCCAATGATAAATCCTATGACAGTGGAAAATCGACGAAAAAGGCTCACTCTAAGGATGGCGATAAATTGAATGTGAAGACCGGTATGTTCGGCTTTGGCAGATATATTATCTGGTAGTTAAGTGCCAGTTTGTATGTCGATAGAATTGAATTTGTTGCCTAATATGGCATGCATATGTATATATGTAAGAGAAGTCAAATTAATTATGTTTGTATGTTTGTATGTATGTATGTAAGCTATGGCATTGTGTTTGCATTACATACATACCATACATATGTATGTACATTCGCATTTTTGGAGAATGTGCGTGGAGACATTTTTTCCTGTTTTTATGTGTTTGTTTTATTCTTCTTCTCTTTTCTTCTGTGTCTTGCAGGCTTTTATTATTTGCATAAACGACTAAAAAATCTATATGACCTTTTTCAGGATATCTCTCTATGGGAATAAGGAAGCAATATAATTGAAAAAGCACTATGTAATCAAAAAATAATAATTTACACACAAACAAACACCCACACTGCATTGTTCATATGTACTAAGATAATAGAAAATACCTACTATTAATTATACCCTGTGAAGATTCATATCCGAAGAAATATGTACATATTTTCAATATATATCTTTTAAATGCTAGAAAAAACTAACAACAACATACAATTATTTAATTGTATGTAAAAACTATTTGGTCCCGACTAAATAAAATTATTAGAGTTAACCCTAGAAAAAAAATTGTATCTAGTACTAATCACCGAGTCCCCAAAGCTACAGCTCCTTCAGATTTTAGAACCCTATTCTAGGGATTACATAACTAAATATCGCACAGTAACATTGTATCATGCGCTCTTAGAAAATAGAACCCCAATCAATCTTTTTTATGAAACTAATAACAACAACAACACAATTTTAATAGTTTATTCACTAAAATATTTTAAATACTTCCAGAGGATAAATTCGAAAAAATTTGTTCAATAAATTAAATTGGACTCAGCAAGCCCATGAATACTAAAATATATAGAATAGAGGTATTCACTATACTGTGACTTTTTGGCTTTCAAACCTTTAAACAACAATTTCCGCATACAAATTTTGACGTTTTCTGTCGATGCGGCACACATGCAATACATATAGTGAATATCTTAACTAATGAAGTTATCATATTAGTAACAACCGCCACAAATTATGGCAAATTACGAAAAACAGGATAAAATGTGCCATGGAATCTAGAATATTTTTATGGATTGAAGTCCCCATAGAACGAAACACGCCTATATACAAATTTGTAGCCAAATTAGTTTGTCCTTGAGAAATACTGCCATGGCAAAGCGCAATACTCGCCAACTTCGCAACACACACACATATATATGTATATTTCATATGTTCTTTGAGGTTATACAAACATGTGTGCGTAAGTATAATAAGGCAAAAATTATACATATCTATCAAAAAATAAGATCAACATTGGAAATTGATCCACAGTTGTCGTAAATGGACAATCAAACGCCAATAACAACAACAAGACACATAATAAACCCAAAGCAATTCAACAAAATAAATATTGCAAATGTTCCACTACTTTGCAGAGATTGTTCGTTCACCAGACAACTCAATCGAATCCAACTCTTCTATTCTCAAAAAAAACTTAAATTCAAACAAACATTGAATCGCCTTCTAAGTAATTTTAGTTGTTGTACAGCATTTACACAGCACAGTTGTTAACATAGAAAATGTTAAAATTAAATAAGCTAAGATCTTATACATAGCTCAATTGCATGGATTTGAATAAGTAATATCTCGTTCATTGGAAAAGTATTTAAATGCACACATTTTCTATCGCTCAGGAGTCAAGGGTCATGACTCATGACTGTGCTATATGTAAATCTACTTTTGTTTTTCGTTAGTTTTCTTTTTGTAGTTGCTCAGCAAAAAAGCTCCAATTCTTTCGATTACACTTTGCGCTCCGCTTTTGATTTACTCCACTAGAATGTATGTATGTATGTCCTCACATTGGTTGATATGTGTATTCACATAAGCCACTTCGTTTGCTCTTGCTCTCCATGACCGTTCAACCAGCCTTCTTGCCAAATCAATTCGAATAAAAAAAAGCTCAATAAAACCAAAACTTGTTCAAACTGAAGGCACTTTTTACTTGAAAACCCAAGAAATCAAAACAATACAAATTAAAAAAAAAAATGTCAGTTAACTATTTTAATTTTTATACTGTTATACTAGAGAATCTTAACTATTTACAACTATTATTGTTAAAGAAGAATGATAATATCCAAAGTTGAAAAATTTATTTTATAACTACAGAAAATAATTTTGTAACTGTACTTAACACTTTTGATACTATACATTTACACGTTTTGTGCCGTTTTGTGTACACTTTACAATGTAGGGGACTTGAAAAATTTATTGCTAACTTTTTATTATTTATTTTGTAATCTATTGTACTTATGTATTTATAATGAAAAAATATGTTAACTATTTTCGGAGCTGATAAGAAAGCATAAGAAGTAAATGAAGAATATTGTAATAATCGAATCGAATGCTGTACCGCCTGAAAACAACAACAATAACAACGGATTTGCATGCGTATATGCATAGCAATTATATTTATATATGTATTATATTTATATATTATGTTTATATATATACATATAGTGCCAACTAAATTTTGCGGACGCACGGTTTTCGATTAAAATTTTTTTTATGTTTTGTTGTGTAGAAAATATTGTAGTTGGTGTGAAAGAGGTGTTGCAAAGCGACTGTAACACACTAGCGCACACACACACACACGAAACAAAATATACTCGTATACATATGAATATATGTACATATATTGTAGTGAGAGCCCTTAGGTGGCGACCGCTGGCTTTTTGTAAATTTATTTATTGTTGTGCCGGTATTCAAAATACCGTTAAACTCACGCCTTTCCCGGTTGCCTACATACGCACATACTCGTACATACATATGCACGTCAGTGGCTAGTTACATTAGCATCTAGATCTGGTATGTATGGATATGTGTGTGCACCTGGAGGCGCTGTTATACTTTAACATAGTTGAAGCACTTGTTATAAATGCAATTTTCTAATTTTAATTATAATAAATAATACACACACACATACACAAAATTATGATTAAATGACACAAAAAATCGAAATGTAACTGTTTTTTAAAAATACAAAACAAAAATTAAATTTAAGTAACGTTTTATAAAACAATGTTGAACAATAGCGAATTTCGAAATGTATAACGGCATAAAAAACTCAGGCGCTCCTGTGTACACACCGAGTTATGTATGTACTTATGTATGCCGATAAAAATAAGAGTACCACAGAGCGATAGTTAAAAGCAAAATAATTTCAATTGTCAAAAACAAATATTTTACGGAAAAATTTGTAGTAAAATTGTAATTTAAAACTGAAATTTTTAGAAACTTAATAAACAGATTTATACAAAAAATCAAACCACAAACGCATTTAAGAAAACTCAAAAGAGCCCGAATTCATCTATAGAATTCTAAACGATATTAACACATATTTATTATTTTCCACAAATGAAGCACCTCTTTATCTCTACTAATCGCTTAGGCCTGTCCTTCAACATTTTGAGCCATAATGTTTCCAAATTCTAGAAAACACTTATCACTCTTACATAAGTATAATATACAAATTATGTATGGTGTTTGCCTAATATTGAAATACATATACACATGTATAGTGTGTAAATATTTGTATATATATAAATTATTATGTCACATATGTAACATAAATCAGTCTGTCCCTGCAGGCGGACGACATTGAAGTAAAAGAGAAATTCTGATTTGACATTTTTATTATTCCATTTACAAGAAAGGCGGTATTGGAGTCTTTTGACTATATTCTGATGTTCGCTAAAACGAAATTCGACTTGGATCATTGTGCCGACGACCAGCGTTACGATTAAATTCGCTTTTCCTCCGCATTGTAACGTTAACGAGTAATTGTGACCTCATAGCAAATGTAACTTTTCGAAAGTATTCGGAAGATCAAGTTTACTTGCCAAGGTGAAATTTGCAATCTGAAATCGAATGATTGATGTTTAAGCACAAGTTCAACTCGGTTTGGACAGTTTACGCATTCTGAAAGTAAAACAGAATACCGGTCTAAAGGACTAATTCCCTCACTCGTCTGGCTTACACAATTTATCGCTGATATCTTTCATGCGCCGTTAGAAAATTTGTGACATCAAGATATTAGCGCCACTCAACGGAGTTTATAGGCTATATATTACATACACATACATTTCCTGTACTCATTTAGTTACGTAAATACAGGGTTTATAAACATATTCATACGTATATATTTTTTGACGCTTCGTAACTCTTTTGAATTGATCGGCAAACTGCAGCAAACAGGTAATAAATATCTAAAGACAATTGTTTATAAACTAATCTGAAGAAACATGAAAACTCAATTTATTTATGATCTAATAAATTTACATCCAAAATGAACAGGCAATATCGAAGATCCCCAAGTCGTCTTCAAATGGATTTTGGAACAAAAGGCCGATGAAAGTATCGAGCTGATAGATCGTGACACTCTAAATCAATATATTAACACCAAAGATTTTCTGGCCGTCGTCTTTTGTAAGTAAAACGCAAACAACAATAACTACAACACTAAGTAGATGTAATAACAAGCTAAAGCAACAACAATATCAACCCGACAGCAAGTTTATGTTGTTTTTATGACAACAAGAACAGCCGATGCAAATAAAAAATATAAACAGTGTTTAAGCGTGCTAGCGATATTAGTTTAGATAGTTAGCCCACTAAAAACTGTAACTGCTTGCCATAAAACCATCACAATTCGTTCAATAACGTAGTATTTAATTAGTAACCATTCGAGTTGGCTTAATTAGTAGTATTTTGTTAGTACCTTGAAAATTTAAATTGCCTCATTGTCATGATGAACTCCACTTATCGTTTGCAGATAAAGAGGACGATCCCGATGCGCCGCGCGTTCTTCGCCACATCGAACTGATTGATGATGAGGCGCTAGAGTACGGTATCTACATTGTCAAAATGAACGACAAGCTAATGGCGAAGAAATACGGCTACCGCAATCCCCCTGGGATAACATATTTCCGCAAAGGCAAATACATCAACTATGACGGCGATATCGACGATGAGGAGGAGGTTTTGGATTGGCTCACCAGCCCCGCCAACATGGAAATGACCGATCACATTGAGAAGGTCAACCGCAAAATGTTTGAGAAAATACGAAAATCATCCGATTACTTGGCCGTGATCTTCTGTAAGTACCGATTGCTCTTCTCCATTTGTATATAAATATGTATGTATGTTTCGAACTGTGCATTTTCTTCGCAGATAGTGACGAATGCAAGCAATGTCCGCGAGTTCTCGCTGAGGTGGAGCATATTGATGACGAAGCCGACAAGGCGGGCATCGATTTCGTGAAGATCGACGACAAACAAATGGCAAAAGAGTTTGGCGTTTTCGCGCTACCTGCAATTGTATTCTTTAAGCCATCATCGAAGGAACCAGTTATCTACGCCGGTGAGTAAACTATGGATGTCCTGTGAGTGTATCATAGTGTGATCAGTTGGCTGGTTCTTTGAAATGGGTGTCAAAGTTCCAAGAAAAAAATCAACATTACTGTGTAGATGGTTTTCAATGACCCTTAAAGCTTTCAATTGCTAACAGCTAATGTAATTTGCTGGACATATATACATATATCGGGTTTTCCAATAGGGATGATAAGATTTCTATGTCTCGTTTTGGCCATTTTTAATAAGTCACGATCTGCAGTTTTTTTTTCATTGTATTCAGTAATGTTTACAATTTCATCATGGAAAGATATACGCAAAAATAACGTTTACAAATTATTAAATTTTATTATCAAAATAATCGTTCTCCAATTGCAACTTTTCGTGCGCTTTTGTCATTTTATGGTCATAATAATGGTCCACCTGTGCCCGCTATTCGTCGAATTTTTAAAAATTTCAAACGTACATTTTCTTTAAATAATGTTCAAGTGTCAATAAAAAAGAACCGCTCGAAGTAATGAAAATATTGCTGCCGTTCAGGCAAGTGTTGCTGAAGACTGGAATTTGTCGATTTCAAGACGTTCTCTAGAATTGGGACTGTCTCAAACAACAACCTGGCGATTGGGCTTGCATTCGTATAAAATTGTTCCACTCACTGAACTGATTTTGCCTTCGAACAACTTAAAATATTATTTTTTTTAATAAAATCATCTTCTCCGATGAGGCTCACTTTCAACTGAGTGGTGAGGTAAATAAATAAAACTGTCGACTCTGGTCCGAAAAAAATAATTCACAAATTATTCATGGACAACCATTATATTCACGTAAATTGACAGTTTGGTGTGTCTTCTGGTCTGGTGGAATCATCGCTCTGTACTTCTTTCGGAATGAAGCTCAATGGAGAGCGGTATAGATCGATGATAACTTTTGGATTGGCAATTGGAAAACGTTGATCTTGACAGCATCTGGTTCCAACAGGCTACGTGCAACAACCGAGTTACTCATGACATACGACTTGAAAAAGTACTCGAAAATTGGGTTCATCGAATTCGTTCCTGCAAAAGAAGTCGTGGTGGCGATTTAAATGATATTATAATCAGAACTTAATTATATCGATTGTACTTCAAAATAAATAAAAAACAGTTGAATTTTCTTAACATCTAGTGTGTTTTTATTAATAATAAAAATCATATCACTCTTATTGGAAAACCCTTTACTTGCCCGACATTATGTTTTTGTAAAGTTTATTAATCGAATATATGAGTCCCCGTGTTTACTTATAACTTATTTTTTAATTTCAGGTGATCTTTATGAAGAAGAACAAATTCTTGCTTGGTTACTGACGCAAAAGGATCCAAGCGGGGATGTTATCGAAGATCTTGAAGGCGAGAAACTGGTTCAACTGATCGAGGAATCTGGTGCGATTGCGGTGTATTTTTGTAAGTAAATAATATCATTTACTTAAAAAACTAGGGACAGACTGCAATCGTTTTGGTAGCATAAATGTGCAAAGTTGTATTTCCCAATTATTTCTATAAAGCAATAAGAGGATATTGTCAATTCTTTCTAATAACTAATTCAGTATCTCATGTGATAAGGTTGAGTGCAAGAAAAAATTCTTATTTATCCGAATCCAAATATAATCGCAGCAGTAAATGTTAAATTAGGTAAATTGTCTTAAATATTATAATTCTACGAGTATACTTTCCACATATCTAAGTTAATATTTCCTTTTAAAAATTAACTTTACAATTTTGCCATGATTCAAAAGAGCACTTTGAATTCTCGAAAATAACAAAATAATTTTATGAATTAGACTTAAATGAACGAGTTTTCGCAATGTCAGGATTACCCAGCAGTTTACTCCAAGTTTCGATTCTAGGCAAGAGTGTTCATCACATAAGAATAGACTGACAGAATCAAACCCCACGCTCCATCAATGCTCTGGCTAAGTTCATCTCGCTTTTTTTTTAATTATAAAAATTTTTGATGGCCTATAATAAACTTTTGCTTCCCTCAGTAGGGCGGTTAATACTTTTAAATTTATACAATTTGTTCCTGAGATATTGAATAATATTTCCTTTACAATTTCAACACCGGCCAATAAATCGTTTTCCTTCGATTTTGAGTCTATCAGCACATATTGAAAACGTGTGTTAAAAAATATTTGAAAAATGATCAAACGCCGTGAATTGAAAATCGCAAATCTTTTAGTTTCTCGAACCCATTTTTATCTATTTTATAAAGTAAAGCTTATTCATTTGTTGTGCTAAATCCTTAGACCTATTGTAGATTTCTTTCCAACTTGCAACATTTATTGCTACACTTTTGCGCAAAAAGATTGCAGACTTAGAAATAACCATTGATATAGTACGTTGCGTTATTTGTCTAATTCTGATTTACATAGTTTAATTTAATTTTTATAAATGTAATTAACGACATTCATACATACTTTTACTTGAAGCTAATTTTCTAATCCGATCTTTCATTCAAGTAGTTGCGGTTCATTGGCGACAAAGAACTTCTCTTCTGTAACTAACCGTAGCATTAGACAATAGTATATAATTTTTTTATTCTATCGATCGAATTTAATGATATTTTCAAACTTGAATTCTTTCCAATTTAAAATTAATTAAACAAACACAACAACGATGACAACAAACAATTTTAATAAAAACTACTCTTGACTTCACCTAAAAATCAAAATGCATAAAAACAAAAACAAACTCAATAAAAATCAAACCAAAACGAAAACCAAACCCGAATTGAAATCAACGCTGAACTTAGGGAACAAAACACAATGTGACATTTGTACTTCAAAGGCAGCACGTAAGGCGAGACTGAAGAAGGAACGCGAGGCGCAACAGCAAGAGGGCGGTGCGGGAGCAGCAGCATCTTTCGGCGGTGAGAGTGAAGCAGCTGCAGCCGAAGCTGAAGCGGGGACCGAACCGAGTGTGGCCAAGACAGCGACTCCATCCTCCGCTGCTGGCAGCAGCAAACACGACGATGGTAGCAAAACATTACCGTAGCACAGAAACTCCCAAGACCCCCAAAAATACCGACTGTGTAAAATAAAACTTTTTGATTCCTTGCCACCTTGCGTGATTATATGCATACATACATACATACTTATGTATATGTATTGAATTTTGTACAATAGTTTGTAGAGTTTCATAGTTTTGAGCAACCCTAAAAGTAAAGCGTATACATACCCCAAGTTCCGCATATTGTTTTTTTGCTCTTCCAACCATCCGAAGTTAAACGAAAAGAGCAATAAAGCTCTAAATGACCTCTTACATTCTCTACCGTTGCCCATCCTCACACAACAACAACGAATAAACTTTTTTCCACTAGATTCCTAATGGACTTCTTACCGGGTCCACCTTGTACATACCATAAGCACGCAAATCTCTAAAAATATTTTGATGGAGATTTTAATTTACTGACCATCTATCCAAAAACATGGAAAAAACTAAACCTAAAACTTTGTGATCTTCGACCTTGTGCTAACTTTCTCGCTTTTTTCTAACACCTTTATGTCCTACCTTCCGCTTTTCTGTAGTCCCTCTTCTATGCCAATTAATTCATTCGTTTTTTTTTTGCTTTGGTCTCTGTACAGATGCCGACGGTTGTGAGCAGTGCACTAAAGTACTGGAAGAATTGGAGAACATTGACGACGACTGTGATAAGCACGGTATAACATTTGTTAAGACTCGAGATTTCTCTGTTGCTGATGGCTATGGTGTACACGAGTATCCAGCCTTGGTGTACTTCGAGGGAGGTATTCCAAATGTCTTTGAAGGTAGGTAGCTATATTACTGAATTGGTTGAGTCCCTCAACATGTCGACAATGTCTCGAACGAATGGTTGATATTGTCTGAAATAGCATACTCTAAGGGAATATCGAGTGGCCTTGCTCAATACAATAGATACGGAAGAAAAGAAAGGCTGAAAGCAAGGCTATCAGCTTAGGTTGCTGGCCAAGAGGCGGTTTGGAAGAAAACAAATCGATCGCGATCTGAATAACTGACAAACCGCAGCAGATAGAAATAAATAACCTATGTCCTTAAGAGAAAGTGTATTATTATATCCCCAGGTGAATTGAACGAAGAGGAAGAGGTCTTACAATGGCTTATCACGCAAAAGACTGAAGATCGCATCGAGTTAATCACCCGCCAGATGCTGGAAACTATGGTTGAAGAAACACAATATTTAGCCGTTTATTTCTGTAAGTTTCTTCCAAAATTAATTGTAAGCCCTTTAATTTCTGCACAAGATGTTTTGTCTTTCTTTTTGATAAATGTTGCTTAAAATATTCTAACTGTTTTTCCCCTGTATTGTCCATTTATCATGAACCTCCACACTACCCCACATCAACAACACTGTCAATACGACTATAAAAATATTATTTAAAAAACAAATGACTACACATTCCGATCCAACATAAACCAAAAACGAAACCACAAAACTCCCCAGTACCCACTGAGCGCAATGGAAAACCACCCGCTTATTGCCGCAGTTTTTGTTCGCCTGCCTTTTTAAACGGAAGCATGAACAGCACCTCGAAACACGCATCCAAACAATTTATAAAGAATTATATTTCACGCAAAAGAAAACGTATCGAAAATCAAGGTATTCACAAAAAAAAAGTACTACATAACCTACGAAATTTGTACATAACCAATTAATCTAAATACTTACACTCTGACCTATTTGGAAAATGGTACATGCTCGAACAAGTAGATTATTTTCTTTGTATTTTCGAAACTAATTTTATGCTTCTGGGTCAGCATGATCGCAACTAAAGTTGGTTAGCTTTGAATATTGTGTTTATTACAAAATGGCAAACACAGAGTATATTTTCAAACTAAATGTCACATGTAAGATAATTTATATAAAAACTGCTGAATTCAAATGTATGTATTTTAAACAATACTACAATTTGAAACTTTATTCTAAATCTTTCTTTTCAGCAAACTGGCGTAAACATAGACTATTTTCGAAACTCGACCTTTCATACAAAAATTTACATTTATGTCGCGATATGTTAGGTATATCGGTTAGATTAGAACTGGTAAAACTCCTAAGGTGACTAAATAATTAAAGTCATCTACGCTACAATTGATTCTGCACTATTATCATCTGGGATCGGACTTGATCACTATTTAAACACCTCTTTAATTGAATGTTATTATGTTCAATGGGTTCTACGTTGTATCTACGACAACGTAATCTACTTCACGAAAAATTTTTCACCATAGAAACAGTTTAAAGCTATTATGATTCTTAAAGATTTATAAATGAGATCGTTATTGCGTGTAGTTTATATAACACTATTACTAAGGATTTTTATTCTCAAAATCAATGGAATTACAAACGTTTTCATTTTATATGTTACACGTGTATAAATTTACTGTATTTAGTTTGGAAATGAATACCTTAATTTTTGACGTTTTCTTTCTGTGTTCTTATGTAACACAACTAATTAAAATTTCATCTTCAAGCTAACTTAATGAACAATTCTGATCATATAAATTTGTAGATATGTATTTTAATAAAACATCTTCTTTAAATTATCGCTAACATTTTAAACAATAGATAAATATTAATTCCAATTAATCCGAAAAAATACTAACGATTAAATATTCGAACATCTCATGCATGCCATATTTGAAGTACACATTAACTTAAAATATTTATCAAAATTCACACAAAGTTATTGCATTTAAAACTAAAATTCGTTCATTTGTTTTCGTTATCCAGACAAAATCAACTGTAATATTTGCGATCAAATTTTGGAAGGCCTTGAACTGATCGACGACGAATGTGATGTCTTTGGTATCCATATGGTCAAAATACAGGATCCGCAACTGGCAAAACGTTATTCGATAAAGACATTCCCAGCGCTTGTGTACTTCCGGTAAAGTATTCCCTATTTGTGTTCTTATTAAATATTGAAACAGAAACGTGCAGAATTAGAATTAATTGGCAGGTTTGTATTACATTTGATTGATGTAAAGTGAGTAGTTTCAAATAGATTCATTTGGATTTGTATAAGAAAGTTGGGAATTTCATAACCGGCATTGATATCCCCATTCTCACCCTCAATTTAATGCCAGTACATCTAAGAGTTAAATTACCAACAACTCCTTCAACGACTAAATAAATATTTATCCAATCCCCCCAACTGAATCGAAGTAAGTAGTCTTTCCAAATTAAGATGCTTTGTACGTTTATTTAGTATTGCATCAACCCCGAAACTAATAAACTTTCAAACTTATTAGTAATATCTGGGGTCTTTCGTTATTTAAGAAGGTGTCTACGCCTTGTTTTATGTCTGACTATATTTTGACACAAAAATTTATATTAATTTTATATTTTCTTTCATAAAGAAACGGCAATCCTCTGCTTTTTGAAGGCGATCTACAAAACGAACAATCGGTTTTGGAATGGCTAATTGATGATGACAACCGTGAATTGGCAGATGAAATTGAAGAAGTAAACGAACGTATGCTGGATCGCTTAATGGCTGATTCTACGTTATTAGTGGTGTTCTTTTGTAAGTAACGTCAAGATATTTCTTTGTCAGTCAGTATATTTTCATTAACCAATAATTTTGAACATCCTCAACCTTAAAGATGAAGAGGATTGTGCTGAGTGTGAGGAAATTCTCGAGGAACTAGAAGAGATTGACGGTGAAGCTGACATGTTTGGCATTGACTTTGTAAAGATTGCAAGCATCGAAGCGGCAAAGAAATACGATGTCGTGAATATTCCCTCACTGGTCTACTTTAGGTGAGTAAATTAATATCTGAAAGAAACCTTGCTCCGAATAAGGCGAATCTTGTAAACAAGAGGTGTAACAATCAGCAGCGAGGGAGGTTAAACAATATTAATCAGTGCCTGTTTTACTTTTCAGAAAACAAGTTCCTGTATTATACGACGGTGATTTACACCAACACGACAAAATTATTACCTGGTTAACCTCACAAGATGTTTTCGAAATAAAAAATGAAATTGAGGAAGTAAATCGTAAAATGTTAGACAAACTACTTGAGGAGAACGAATTTATAACGGTTTTCTTTTGTAAGAAACCTTAACTAATACAAAATATCGGAAATGCATTTGATAACATACATTTTATACTTTGCCTCCTTTAGATGAACATAATCAGCAAGACAGTATCGCCGCACTGGAAAAACTGGAAAACATCGATAGCGAAACGGATAACTTGGACATTACATTCGTTAAGATGGCCGATTCGCGTTATGCCAAGAAATGGGGTGTTACAAAGCTGCCAGCTATGGTATATTTCCGGCGAAGGTTCCCCAGCATTTATAGAGGTTAGTTCGGGAAATTTTGCGTTAGGAAAAACTTAAATACTTATGCTTTTCGATTTTTTTCGTAGGTGATCTTCTTTCCGAAGATGAGGTTCTGGAATGGTTACGCAAAAATCGCTTCCGTCAACCAGAACTCAATATATTCATGTATGCGCTAATCGCATTGGCTGTTGGTTTCTTATTATACACTGCCTTCCTGTTGCAATGCTTCAAGCCAGCGCCACCGCCACCGCCCCAACACCCAAAACAGTCGTGATAAATTAAAAACCAAAAACAATAAATATTTACCATTAATTAAAGCGTAAAGAGTAACAAACAATACACTGGAACAAAAATCAATAAATTGAAGAAAACATTTCAAACACACATTTCAATAAATACATCGACAAAAGAATTAAAGATTTTTCGAATTATCATCCAATTCTATCGTCTAAATTAGACGTAAGGAAAATTACTACAACGAATTTTTAGCAAGCATAGATCCGAAAGCGAATTCAAATAAACATTTACAAATAGAGAGAGAGACATAAAAAGGATCGATTGAAGTACATTTTGAGAATACTATCAGATATACAACAGAATTAATTCTTAGCGAAAAATTAAAAATTAAAGCCACAAATATATAAAAGCTAGACCGCCACAACTAAAACCTAAACGTAATATAAAATTTATTGGTTTAAAGGCAATTGAGAAACTTAATTGATTCGTTGCCGGAATATTGACTAAAATGAATTAGAATTTATTAAATAAACTTTTGCGAATTATTTATTACAGTACGTATATACATGTATGTATGTGTGCAGATATACACGTGTACATAACATTATACGTTTAAGCCGTTTGTATTCGCATATATATATATATATAAATTTTTTGCTACAAAATGGATAAAATAAACTATTTTTTGGATGATAAGAAGTGACTGTGTTTATTTTCGGTATATGGGTTGGCAAAAACTGATTAGCCTTTTATCAGTAATTTAGATTTAATTTTACAACTTTTTAATGCCTCACAAAATGGATTGAATTTTTGTATAATTTCATGTCCATGGAGTGCTAAGTTACGAGAATCATATTTATTTTTTAAAAAATATAACTAAAAACCCTAAGGGTATCAGGTGCAGTTTTTATGGCATAAAATGTATAAAAATATATTTATCTTGTTTTTAATCAGTTACTTTGAATAGCAGCTACATATCTGCTAAAGTGGTCCTATTTAAACAATTAGTAATAGTCTATGCTAAATTTCGTGAAGGTATCTTGTCATATAAAATTTGTTATACAACAACATGAGTTCGATTTGTCAGTTTGTATGGCAGCTATTATATGCTATAGTCGTCCGATATCGATTCCGACAAATGAGCAATTTCAGGGAGAGAAAAGGGTGTGTGAAAAATTTCAGATCGATATCTCAAAAAAAGAGAGGCTTGTTCGCGTATATACAGTCATAGTAATAGTTAGCAGTTAAGATACAAACCTAATGCCAAAGAGCGCACTCAGCTGTTAATGTCCCTTATCAACAGATTTTGACAGTTATTTCTTATCAATATTATATTTTACAGTGCTGCTAACACTAGCATAACTTAGGGGGCTTTGCAAACCTCCGCTTCAATGCAGCAATAAGTTTATGAAACAATAAATACATTGTTCGTTCAAATCATTCACTCAAATATTAATTTTTCACTAAAAATTTTTTGTGTATACTTTCCATTCATTTATAAAACAAGCAAAATTATACCTTGGTATTGGTATTTTGAAACCGCAACATTGTTTCACACTTCAGGGGTGAGCGTTGTTGATTCGTGGGCACAAAATAATTGCAAATAATTCGAAGTGAAAACGTAAAACAGCGAACAGAAGAAAGAAAACTGACATTTGTTAGGTTCAGCAGAAGAATGAAATAAAAACAAAATTGAAAAAGTTTTGCTTATCCGAATACCAATAAAGGCAGAGAACTTTGTCTTGCAGCTGGAAGTACATATGTGTACATATAACAATCGAGACTCACTGTGAGCAGCTAAGTTGACAAGTGCAGAGAGTTAGCAATCTCTGCCGGAAGAATAAAACACCATTAAGAGCACTGTTATTATTGGATATTGAGTAGAGCTACGCTCATCTGGAGGCACGACAGCGAAAACAAAAAGTTTACATTTGATTTTGATGTGGAAACAAAATCAAAGGGAGGAACAATTTTCAGTTGGTTTTTGTTGTTCCGCGATTGCTGTGAGTTGGATAATAAACGCGTTTGGCTCACGGACATATTATAGTGCCATATCAAATGAGAAGAAAACCAAGAAATTCTAACTAAATTGGCAGCAGTGGAAAGAATAAAAAATCGTTTGAAAAAGAAATTAATTAAAAAGGTGAAACGAACTGCAATAAAATTAAAGCGTAAATTGGTAAGTTTGACGCTGTGGATTTTAGTTTATTGCTAATACAAGTGCAGTATCGAAAACTGATGTGCTAGTAAACAATAACTCATAATAACCTTGAACTCGCTCCACTAACCAACATGGACATTGAAGATGATTATTGTAAATTAGTGATTATTAGAATATGCATTAGCAGAACACCCATTATCACAAAACAAGGCCAACCACTCGGTCAGTACCAAATAAAAAGTTTTAATAGCAAAAGCAGATAAAATGCTCTATCTTCACTTCGATGTCTTAAACAGCTGTTGACACGCTTGTTTTATTGCATGCCAAACATACATATTTACTCTTAAATGTGTTGATATGTGCTGGTATGCATATGCCTCCAATCATCGATCTCACAATGCGGAAGTCTCAAACCATTTATTTTGTGCTTTGGCACCGTTTGTATTAGCTTCTAATTTTGTTTTTAGCTTTTAAAAGGTATGTGCCTACTTTGGGCTTTATTATACAGAATGCACGGATGGTCAATATTTTATTGTATTTTAATTAACACCATGCAATTTACGGACTCTGGATGTGAAGCCACGAGTGAAGGTGAAAGTTGTCAGCCCCACAGTTTCTGTTGTTAAAATTTACACCAATATTATGCCTTGGTTTTATGTACATACTTATGTATATGTATGCAGTTATGAAAATGTTAATCAACCATGTAGGAAACTTTCAGGCTGATTTGAGGGGTAATTGAACAAAATGGTATAACATAGAACGTTCAAATCTGTTTTATACAAATTTTGATTTAATTCAATTTTAATTCAATTATTTATTGTTATTTCTTTAATTTGTTGATTTCAATTCTTCATTATTGTTATCAACCCGTTTACGCTTATGAATTTTACATAAAGCTTCCCAATGCAAGTTTGTGCTTAATAATCATTAAGGACTTAATGAGAATGGGTGATCAAATACTGATTAATTGCATAATATGTATATATGTATGTCTAATCATACATATGCTATACGTATGTATATGGACACACACATTTGTACATGTGAATGCAAAGCTTTCCATTTGCCTGCTGATTGTTATGTAGATACCTGTAAATTTAAAATGGAGCTATATCTGTGCAAATACACACCAAAAAGATGTGAGTAAATTATATTATCTTAGAAAATATCGATACAAGAAGTCAGCTTAATGTATGTATCAGTTATTATTCTTACGCAGTAAGTCTGTGCCCAACGAATGTTTCCATTCGTTTTAACTTCATTAATATAAAAACTCCTCACATCGATCTGAAAAGCATTAATAAGAAAATTATTTTAATATTTGACACGCCTAGAATTTCATTGGGTTATTAATTCCCAATGTACGCTTGCAAATGTAAATAAACTTATGTATACGATTTGTGGAACTTTTACTGTAGTGTGTAGAGTCAACTGTGGGCTAAATATTTTGAAAAAATGGGCGTGGCCACGCCCTCAAAAAAGTTTAATGTACATATCTCCCAAACCGTTCAAGCGATACTAACCAAATGACAAATCCCTTAAGCATCCCTTCCCTTAAGAATAAAAAATTAAAATATTATGATTTTCGTTATTCTAACAAGTTTTTGCCGAATATGTCGGTCAGTGAGTATTATTTATATTAATATATAAAAATGATTCAAAATCTGTTCTCGAGTATACCTGAGCAATGTCAAAATTACTAAAATCAGCACGTCCCTTTCTCTATCCCCACCCCATACAATTATTTCCGTCGTTCCACCTGTATTTAAACCGTTCAGGTTGGTCAAAATGTGTGATATTTTAATGAAATTAAAAGGACTAGTTTTCTTAAAAGTTATCAACTAAATTTATATTAAATTTAACCCCTTCGTTCGAGTTTATATCACATACCTACATACATATATTTCATATGAAGGTGTTTTAAATATAATTTTAGCTGAGGTGAACTAGAATATACCGTAGCAATAAAACTAAGTCTAAGTTTATGGCCTTTAATATAAGTCTAGAATATACCAAATTTGATTGTAATTTATTCGCGATTTCATCGAATAGTGGATGATTAATTCTTTCGCAACATTTTTTAATATAAAGTTTTGCCAGCACCTGAAAGAATTTTCCGGGCTTTGATTCTTACAAGTTGCAAGAGTATAAAATGTTCGGTTACACCCGAACTTATCCCTTCCTTACTTGATTTCAATAATTTTGATTGGGTACGAAACGAGCACAAATATTACGGTAAGGTGAATGTATTAATATTGTAACAAAGTGTCCGCTTTTGTTAAGCGACTTGCCGGTTCGAAACAATGCAGCTACATACATACATACATATGTATGTTATGTAAATACCCGTATATATAAACACAAAATTTTCTCTAATTCCTAGTTTATATTCCATTACTCGATAGCGTCTAAAAGCAGCAAACTATTATTTGACTTTCTAAATATTTGGTAAAATTTTTTTAATACTTCAAACTTACAAAAAGATTTCAACTAATTCTGAACTTAACTCCATTGACTAGTTTTTCTACGCTGTTCTGGGGTGCAAACTTTTGATTACTAACTTGCAAACTACGATTGTTCCTATAATTTTGTTTTATTAAAAAAAAAAGACAAAGAAACAAACAACGTGACACTGAGAGCTGCATACACAACGTCGCGATATTATTAAAATGATTGTATAAAAAAATATGTTTAATTTTATTAAACGTTCCTATATATTAAATTTAGACCCATTGGTTGGGTACATATCTCATTTGAGTTAATTATGTTGATTTCGTTACAAACATCTTAGACACAAAGCAAAATGTTGTAATGAAGCTAAGTGAGTTTACGACATACATTATAACTTAAGATATTAAATAAGAGTTCCGACAAACATTTTCGTAATATAAAGTTTTGGTAACACGTGAAAATATTTCACCGGCTTTGATCGTTTCTAATTGCTAGATTATAGTTCTGAATTTTGGGAGAATGAGTGAGATATAAAGGGAAAAATGTAGTTACCTCGTTTGGCATACCATATTTTGTTTTTTGTTTTATAATATAATTAATTATTTAATTTTTTATTATATAAACTACATATGTATACATGTACATGCATATGGTATGTACCATATGTATATCATAAGTGGATATCGACGCTAGTATACATGCGTGTATGTGCCATGTTTTAATATTTTCTATTCTTACTTTCAGATATTTCATAGGCAATTTTTTGAGCCAAATTATATGTAAACACTACTATGAAATTGGATGAAATTGTTGCGTGGTAAGTTTTTTCCAAAAATGATATTACAGTTAGGTCATTCTTATACCATTATCAGCTTGCTAATCAAAAATTTAATTCACTCGCTTCAAATATAGTAATATTAGAAGAACCTAACATTGTCTTTCGAAAGATTATATTCGTCATTTACTATTATTTTAGGTATCAGAAAAAAATTGGCACCTACGATAAGCAGCAATGGGAGAAAACTGTGGAGCAGAAAATTTTAGATGGTTTTAACAGTGTTACGCTTAAAAATGCAAAGCTCAA